AAATTTTTTGAAAATATTATGATTTGACCGAATGCCGAGCTTAAAACCGACCACTTACTAAATATTCGATTGACCAAATTTACTAGTAATACAATTTGAAAAATGTTGATTTTCGTTTTATATATCTATAAATACGTATAAAACATAATCCCAAAAAATATTTTAAAAATATCGCTATTTGGCGGATAACCGACTCGTAACCGACCCAATGACTAAATACTGAATTGCTGGCGTTTTAAATCAAAATATCTTAATTTTTGTTTTATATGTGTATATTTACGTGCTAAGCATTATCCTAAAAAAATTTTTGAAAATAATTTGATTTGACCGATTGCCGAGCTCAAAACCGACCACTTACTAAATATTCGATTGACCAAATTTACTAGTAATATAATTTGAAAAATGTTGATTTTCGTATTATATGTCTATAAATACGTGTAAAACATAATTCTAAAAAATATTTTTAAAATATCTCTATTTGGCGGATAACCAACTCGTAGCCCACCCAATGACTAAATAATGAATTGCTGGCGTTTTAAATCAAAATATCTTAATTTTTGTTTTATACGTGTATATTTACGTGCTAAGCATTATCCTAAAAAATCTTTTGAAAATAATTTGATTTGACCGATTGCCGAGCTTAAAACCGACTACTTACTAAATATTCGATTGACCAAATTTACTAGTAATATAATTTGAAAAATGTTGATTTTCGTTTTATATATCTATAAATACGTGTAAAACATAATCCCAAAAAATATTTTTAAAATATCGCTATTTGGCGGATAAACGTTTCCTTTAACCTATAATAAAATTTTAAAATATATTATTAAATATATATTTTACCAAAATAAAAACTTTGAGAACAGATCAGACATTTTAATAGCAAAAATATGATTTATAATTATAAAACAATTTTAAATTTTAACGGCTATTATTTAAAAGTATTTATTTATTTGTTTATTATTTTTTATATACTTCTAACTCAAATTTTTTTATTTTTAAAATAATGCCAAATATTTTTAAAATATTCAGGAAAATATATTAATTTCGAATATAAATAATAAAGGAAAATAAAAAAATATTAGAAAGAATATAATCATGGGGAGGGGGTTTAAACGCCCCTTTTTTGAATCTCAATTGCTTATCTCTTAGACAATTAAAATTATCTGAAATATTTGCACATAACACATTTTTAGAGAGTATTATAGATTTTATTTATTATATAAAAATAAAAATACTTTAGCATATAGTATTGCATAAATTTTAAGTGTTAATACAAAAATTATATAAATTTATAACTAAGAATTTATAGTAAATTTGGTCAATCGAATATTTAGTAAGTAGTCGGTTTTAAGCTCGGCAATCAGTCAAATCAAATTATTTTCAAAAAATTTTTTAGGATAATGCTTAGCACGTAAATATACACGTATAAAACAAAAATTAAGATATTTTGATTTAAAACGCCAGCAATTCAGTATTTAGTCATTGGGTCGGTTATCCGCCAAATAGCGATATTTTAAAAATATTTTTTGGGATTATGTTTTATACGTATTTATAGATATACAAAACGAAAATCAACATTTTTCAAATTGTATTACTAGTAAATTTGGTCAATCGAATATTTAGTAAGTAGTCGGTTTTAAGCTCGACAATCGGTCAAATCAAATTATTTTCAAAAGATTTTTTAGGATAATGCTTAGCACGTAAATATACACGTATAAAACAAAAATTAAGATATTTTGATTTAAAAAGCCAGCAATTCATTATTTAGTCATTGGGTGGGCTACGAGTTGGTTATCCGCCAAATAGAGATATTTTAAAAATATTTTTTAGAATTATGTTTTACACGTATTTATAGACATATAATACGAAAATCAACATTTTTCAAATTATATTACTAGTAAATTTGGTCAATCGAATATTTAGTAAGTGGTCGGTTTTGAGCTCGGCAATCGGTCAAATCAAATTATTTTCAAAAAATTTTTTAGGATAATGCTTAGCACGTAAATATACACATATAAAACAAAAATTAAGATATTTTGATTTAAAACGCCAGCAATTCAGTATTTAGTCATTGGGTCGGTTACGAGTCGGTTATCCGCCAAATAGCGATATTTTTAAAATATTTTTTGGGATTATGTTTTATACGTATTTATAGATATATAAAACGAAAATCAACATTTTTCAAATTGTATTACTAGTAAATTTGGTCAATCGAATATTTAGTAAGTGGTCGGTTTTAAGCTCGGCATTCGGTCAAATCATAATATTTTCAAAAAATTTTTTAGGATAATGCTTAGCACGTAAATATACACATATAAAACAAAAATTAAGATATTTTGATTTAAAACGCCAGCAATTCAGTATTTAGTCATTGGGTCGGTTACGAGTCGGTTATCCGCCAAATAGCGATATTTTTAAAATATTTTTTTGGGATTATGTTTTATACGTATTTATAGATATATAAAACGAAAATCAACATTTTTCAAATTGTATTACTAGTAAATTTGGTCAATCGAATATTTAGTAAGTGGTCGGTTTTAAGCTCGGCATTCGGTCAAATCATAATATTTTCAAAAAATTTTTTAGGATAATGCTTAGCACGTAAATATACACATATAAAACAAAAATTAAGAGATTTTGATAAATAACGCCAGCAATATTTACCTTAGAAAATTTCCATTATTTTACTATTCTAAACCTACTCATAAATTAAACATCAAAGAAACCTAAATTTTTTTTTTAATTTTTAGGTTTTTCATATGTATATATACCCAAATATAAAAAAAGCGCTATCCAATCATGATTCCGGTTTCCTAAAATGATACTTACATATTTACGCATATAACGCCCTCTTACGGATATATATTTGTTAATTTTTAAAATTTAAAATAATTTATTTATGTTTTAATAAGCTATGAAAATATTTCTTTTATAATAATATTAACTCAAAATAAAATATATATTATATGATATTTAATCTGTATCCTTCATTTAATAAAAAAATAATTTAAGTATATTTTAAAAAAAGTTTTAAAAATTTTCATTAAATAAAATATACATAATAAAATTTTGATTGATTATGATTAATTGCTTTTTAGCAATTCATTTTAGCAATTCAGTATTTAGTCATACCCTGAAAGCCCCATTTATTGTTTTTTTCACTTACAAGATAAATACTCCTTTAAATTATATCAAATAGTCTAAGAAAAACCATTAAAAACAGATTTAAATATAAATTTATGCAAAGACGCCCCCTTTCGCGAAAATATTTATACACTTTTCTAAACATTTTTATCGATTTTGAGAATGAAGATGGCCACGTCCCAGACCAATTTTTTTTTATAAATATAAAGGAAGAGTTCAGTGTTGTCTACTAAATTTTTTAAAAAAATTGAAGGTCGTATAATTTCTAAAAAATCGTTTTTAGTCCTTATATATTTAATAAAATGGCCGGAAATTGAAAAAAAAAATTTTTTTTTTATATCTAAAAGTAGAATCTTTGTATGTAATTTTGATATTAAATTTGTTATTTACAATTAGATAGTTTTTAAGATATGCTTAATTGAATGAAGGCAGATAATGGTAAAAATACGTCATTTTTGCCACTTTGAACCCTAATATCTCCAAAAATATAAATGTTACGAGGCTAAAATTTTGGCTATTTCTTAACTACATTAACCATTCTTTGCTTACTAAATTTTAAAAAAATCGAAGGGGATCGGCCGAAAATCTCATTTTTTTTGCTCATTTGACATGGAATGACCCATACCAGATAATATTATCAAAACGATGTAATGGCCTACTCGAAAAATCATTCGTTATTCGTAGTGTTGTTAAATGGCTCGATTTGAGCCGAATTTTAAAAACGGCTAACTCAATGTTTTATCCTGAAGAATATTATACAAGCCTAAGGATTTTACTCATATATGGCTCATATATTGGAGATCTATTAGAGAAATCTCTAGGTTTATGCAATATTTATCTGGCTATAATATTGACTTAGCCGTTTTTAAAAATCGGCTAAAATCGAGTCGCTTAACAACACTAGTAATTCGCGATAAAAATTTACGAAATTTGTATATGAATAAAATAACTAATGAATAATAACTTTATATTTTTCGTAAATATTCTGTTTTATCAAAATTTTAAATTATTAGGCAGGCCATTAATAATCAAATATTTTAATTTTGTTGACAGTGTTAAATTGTTGATAATGCCTGAATTAACTTATTTTATTTCCAACATCAAATCAAAACATTTGGAAGTTATAGAAATCTTAAATCGGAACAAAACGAAAGTGAGACGCTAATATACATATCGTACATATTTAGGAAAATATAAATATTTACTAATTATTTAAAATTAACTATAAAAAGAAAGGGATTAATTGTTTATATTTATTAATTTCTCTCATCTTAATTATATCTTATTTTGTGTTATGCTATAACTAAAATAATAACAATCCTAAAATAAATCTAATCAAATTCGTACGATTACTAAATTAACGAATATTTTATTATTCAATTCGTTTTATTGGAGGCCCAATTTAAATATTATATAGCGTTAAAATAAGTAAAGATTCAAATATTTTGCACATTACCTGCTAGTCGAATTCCCTTCTCTCTCTTAAAACAACAGATATGGCAGAAAATAGACATGAAACAAAAAAAAAATTGATCGAATTGTCTCAAATAGGGGAATGCTTGAAACCAACTACACATCGACTTTTTACAAAGAACCAATACCAATATCAATTTTAAAGATATATGAAATTGGACATTTCGGCGTAGGTGAATGCAGGGCTTCACAACAACCCATTCGTGTCTGCTCGAGAAGATTGACATTGGTTCTATGTATAAAGTAGCTATAAGGTTTGTCTTAATATGTACAATTAAAAAAAATTTATTAATGAGATAATATCAACTAGATCTACCTCTAAAAATTTGTCTCGATTCCATCTCTCATTTACATAAAAGAAAAATTGTATATTATACCTTGTGTTCGAATTTCAAGCTCTGCATGTGATTCATATATCGATTGCAATAAAAGAGGTATCGTTGGAGAGCGGCCCTAGACTTCTAAACAAATGAGGTAAATTTTAAAAAAATATTGATATTTTATTTTGAAGATAAAATGTTTGTACAAGAAGAATGTCGAACCTTTGATATTTAGGTTTGGTTCAGGTTCTAGAAAGAAAGAATTATAGGGTCATTCCATTTAAAATCAAACATGTTACAAGCCGACCCTCTCAGAGATATAATTTTGCATATAGGTAAATGAAGTGTAATTGGTGAATCCAAAATTTTGGCCTATTGGAGATATAGGATTCAAAGTGGCTCTGCTTGGTCATTTTTCGCTTTTCATTAACTTTACTATTATAAACACTATGTATATTATAGATCATTTTATAACCAAAACTATTGCAAGCATTTTGAATAAAATTTATTCCTAAATTAAAAATAATATTTTTCTATTTATTTTCAAATTAAAAATATGTAGTAAATTAATTAGCTAAAATTATATTTTTTGACAATATAAAGTCAATAAAGTTTTTTTTTATTCCATAATATATTATTTATTGAATATAGTAAAATTATAATATAGATATTAAAAATAACTTTATAGAAATTTCCTAGAATTCATGAGTTAAATTATAGTGGCTGTGAATGGGTTGACGATAGTTAGATTTTTTTGGAATAATAATATCCGGTATTGATGATATTAAAAGGACTAAAAAGGTTGTTTAAGATGTAAAAAGATTACCTTTACTTCATCAGCACTTTTAATCGCTAGAATTTTATAAATTAATGTCTACTAAATTTTTATAAAAATTTAAGGTGATATTATTTCCAAAAAATTGTTTTTAGTTCTTATATATTATATAAAATGGCCGGATATTTGAAAAATCAAAAATAAATTTTTTTTATCAAAGTATATACATTGTACGTCATCTTTGATATCCAATTTGTAATTTACAATTGTGTAGTTTTTCAGATGTTTAATTGAATGAAGGCAGATAATGGCAAGAATATTTGACACTTCGAACCCTAATATATCCACAAATATAAAATGTTAGGAGGCTAAATTTGGATATTTCTTTACATTCATCTTACATTACTTACCAAATTTTAAAAAATTGAAAGGGGTCGGCTGAATCGTGGTTGATTTGTCATGGAATGACCCAGTCATACAAATTTTATGAAAATGAATATATGTTGATTATTCTGTTTATTGTTCCATATATGTTTTTGATTAAATTTATTAATTTACTATATATATTCAAAATTATAACTATTTATAATTTATATTGATTTCAAAGTTCTAATGTAATGTAATTTCTTAAATATATCTATTATAAATGTAAATGCTCTATAAATCTAGGAATTAAGTATTATATCAAAAAAATAGTTGATCAGGATGAAAAATTTAATTCTGGTAGCGACAATATAAGAATACTTTTTTTTTGAAATAATGTTTTGCAAAAGGTACATTTTTATTTCAAGGTATGCCAAGTCAATTAAGTGTTGGATGAAAGAATTTGTATAACTTCAAGAAAATTTTTAGCATAACTTGAAATTTTTTAACATGAATTTTTAATGTTGGCATAACAATTTATATTGAATCCTGCCATTTTATTTCATACTTTCCTTAAAAATGGAACATTTATATTTATAAAATGTTCATTTTTCATATTTATAAGAGTAGCTGCAAATGGCAAAATTCTAAGATTCAGCCTGAAAATTTGATTGCCTTGTCCAGCCTAGTTTTAATTTTTCACTAAGGTTTCCCAATCCTGTTTTTATTTATTTTTTTAAATACAAGGCCTTAACCAAATTATATGTTGTTAAACACAAAAAACAACTACAGGTAAGGATTGAAGTTCTCTAGTGTATATTAATATCAGTTGTTAAAGGATCGAATCAAAATATAGCCAATCCTGGATTCGAATAAATTTATCAATTTTCCCGGATTTATGATCAAAATCCGAGTTCATTTTTTTTAATATTCGATCCGATCCTTTTAAAAATTAATTTTTTACTTAAAAAGGAATAAATAAAATAAAATTTTGAAAATTAAATATAAATATAATTTTTTTAAAAAAATATCTATCTACATCATATTTTATCAACTTCCATTCCACCATATTCTATATTTCAGCAATTTTCTAAATTTTATCTAGAACGAAATTTAGAGCCTACAAGTTTTATTTATTTAATTTTTAGAAAAATTTTTATTATTAAAGGCTAATTTTAATTTAAATAAATATATTCTAATTGTTATCATCTTATATTATTCAATTACAATAAATTTATACCATATTTAATTAATTTCGCATCGATCAGTAATTTCCTACAGAAATATTAATAAGAAAAGAATCGTGATCGCGATCCTTTTTTAAAAAAGGTCGATCCTGAATTTCGATCCTCTTTTTTTGAAGATGTGAATCGATCTTTTTAAAAGGATCGATTAATAGTTTATATTTAAAAAGATTTATAGGAAATAATATTAATGCTTATAAATGAATATAATTTTGTTTTATGTATTACAGCTATATCAGAGACCTGCAGACCCAGCCCTAAGCCCAGGTACACGAGGCAAGCTGTATTTTTTAAAAATATATCCAGACTGGGGTTAAATTATTTTTTAAATAGCAGGGTTGGGCATTAAATTTTTCAAAAAATACTTTTTCTTAAATAATCGGATTGGATCTAAAAAAAATTTCCGAAAATACCCACGCCAGTCCTAAATTTTTTTTAAATACCCGGCTCGGGTTAAATATATAAAATATTTACCATCTATTTATTATTATAAATACAATCAGTTGTTACAGGATCGGCGATCCTGGAATCGATCCTAATTTTGGCATTTTACTCGGATTTATGATTTTATCTTAAATTAAGGATTGAGATCGAGATCATTTTATTATAATACTAATTTATATAAATATTTTTTTACTTAAAAAGTATATAAATAAAATAAAAATTTTTAAAATAAAATGTTATTTTTTTAAAAAATTTTATCTCCATCATATTCTAGCATCCTATGCTATATTAAATATTTTTCTCGTAAATTTTATCAAGACAACATTTACGAATTTGATTTACAACCTACAAGTTTTATTAATTGAATTAAAAATAAAATACATTATTTTTAGAAATTTACTAATTTCTATTATAGATCTAGAAGAAAATACAGATACAGTTATTGAAGTGACAAATATAAATGAGAACCGTTTACCTTTTTATCAGCTGGTATAGTAATGTTAATTAACATTCCTTAAAATATAGATTTCCTTCACTGTGCTAGGACAGTAGCATAAAGAGCAATATTCACCCAAAATTTAAGCTTATATTAATCCACCAAAAAATCTGTTGAGAAAAAAAGGCTAATTACCCATTGAAAACTACCACATGCAGATGCTTATTCAAATGATTGTATCGATAAAACTGATACTGTCTTTGGAAGAAATTCTTCGAAAAATACGCTTACCCCTGATATTTTTTTTATAATGATAATTCAAATAATATTTGAATACTGATTTAAATTCAAAAAAATGTAACACCTTTGCTTTCAAGCGCTCCTGTGGAATTTAAAGCTAAATATGTTGTTAATAAAAACCGCGGATGCTTGAATGATGAAAATTTAGAATTTTTTATATTTAAAGGCTAATTTTGATTATAATAAATATATTAATATTGTTAAACTATTCTATTACAATAAATTTACACTATTTAGTTTATTTTTATGTAAATTAATTTTGCATCGAGTATAGATTTTCTTCAGAAACTTATCTAAAATAAGAAAAGGATCATAATCCTTTTTTAAAAATAAGGTCGATCCTGGATTTGGATCCCTTTTTTTGAAAAGGTAGTGATCGGGATTCGATCCTTTTAAAGGATTAATTAACAAGCGAATGGAATATATTATAATAGCTGATAACCCGTCAAATGATGGGGAAACAGAATATGGATGAATCAGAAATTTTCCCATATCACGAGGTTTGAGAAATTTATTTTTATTTTTATGAGAGGGGCTTAATTAAAATTTTTCAGTATTTTTATAAAGTTAATGAAAGATATATTTAGTATCTTCAATTTGTGTGCACAATAAAAAATCTTTTAAACTAAATTTTTGTATTTGTAAATTTATAATCTAAAAAATATATCCTTGATAGATGGGGGGGGGGATATTAATTTGAGAATGAGTTATACAAAACTCTCATCTAGCAAGAATATATTTTTTAGGTTTAATTACAAAAACAAATGAATAAAAATTTCATTAATAAGATTTTTTATTGTGTAGATAAATTAAAGGTACTAAATATATACTTCATTAATCTATTTTTTAAAAATAATGGAAAATTTTAGAATCTTCAACAAAATAAATATAAATTTTTGAATACATCTCAAAGAAAAATTTCTGATCCACCCATCATCAAATAAAGGTAGAAATTATTATTCAACCATCATCGAATAAAGGAGAAAATTCTGATTCCCTGTTATTATTGACGGGCTATCATCTAGTTTAAATATAAACTCGTATAAAAAAATTAAGAATATATTAAATGAGGTTCAATAACAAATAATACATCTAAATAACTATTTAAAATAATTTGTTTCTCGTTTAATTCTTATCTTGATTCTATACATTTTACTTAAATGGTATATAATTATTAACCCTTTCGCGCCCAGCGAGATCATTTGTCATCAAAATTTTTAATCAATTAATTTTTATATTTAAAAAACGAATGGTCGCTATTTAGACGCATTAATTTACAAAACAATATTTATTCTTTCATATTTTATCATTAACCTGTCAAAATTATTATTTTATTATATCAGAATATAAGTTCAAAGTTAGGTATTTTAGGCGCCAAAATTTTTACACTATTACATCGATTATCATTCTGTATAAATATATATAAATCAAAGGTAAATAATATTTATAGGATAGATTATTAATAGTATTTCATGTTTAGTAAAAAAAAATTAACAATAACTATTTTTTATATGATTTTTAAAAGAAAATCCAAATTGGTAACATTGGGATTTTCTTATGTAATTTTTTCCATAAATTTTTTAAAATTAAATATTGAAAATATGATATAGTGAGAATTGAATATAGGCTATTTTCCATTTAGCAAGCCACTATAATATTTGCAAAAAGTTAAGAAAGTGAAAATTTTATTTTATATTTTTTTAAAAATTTTATAAATAATTTTTAGATGACCCCAACATGTATTATACCAGAGGGAGATATATCTGATGTAGATATTGAGAAGGATGATGACTTTGAAAATGCCACAGTAGTTGATCTAAATATGACCTATGATATTTTACCAGATATTGGGTTGGAACTGGAAAATTATGATAATGATATTATCCCAAGTAATAGGAAAACCCTATGGCGAAATAAGGATTTATATAAATATAATAGAATTTAAACAAAAATTTTTGCTTCCACCTGATAAGGAAATTTCGCCTTACAAATATTTTAAAAAATTTATAGACGATGATATTATTAAATTTAGTAGAGCAAACGAATATTTATTCTTTTCAATTATCTGGCAAATCAACAAATACAAATAGTAGTGAAATTGAAAAATTTCTCGGAATTCACCTTTATACGGGCATTGTTAAATTGCCATCAATAAGGCAATATTGGGCTATAGAGAGAGTGATTCCTCAAATTTCTCAATGCATGACAAGAAACAGATTCTTGGAATTGAGAAAATACTTTCATATTAATGATAATAATAATATAATCCTTAGGGGCCAGCCTAATTACGATAAACTTTTCAAACTAAGACCAGAAAGATTCAATTAGAGGTAAAATTATCAATTGATGAAATGATAGTCCCCTTCAAAGGGCGATGTGAATTTAAACAATATATTAGCTCAAAACCGCATAAATGGGGAATTAAAATTTTCGCTTTATGTGGATCATCTGGAATGCTATATGATTTCGAAATATATTTAGGAAAATGCACAAATATAAAAAAAACTTTGATGGGAATTAGCGGAGATATTGTTATACGACTATTAGAAACTGTTCCCCCACATAAAAATCATATGGATAACTTTTTTTCTTCATATAATTTAGCAGTTGCGCTCAAAGATAATGGCTTTATCATGTCGGGGACCATTAGATCTAATCGATTATTAGGATGCCATCTGGTCGATGATAAAATCTTAAAGAAAAAAGGAAGAGGGTCCCTTGATTATAAAGTGGATTCTAATAATAATATTATAATTTGCAAATGGTTTGATAACAAATCGGTTATCACGTTATCATCATTTATGGGTATAAATCCCACATCACGAACGAAAAGATGGTCGGTATCTGAAAAATCTTTTATTAATGTCGAAATTCCGGCTATAATTCAAGATTATAATGCTGGTATGGGCGGAGTGGATCTCCATGATATGTTAATTGAACTATACAGAATTGACATAAAATGGAAGCGCTTTTACATGCGAATTTTCTTTCATTTATTAGATTCCTGTGTGGTGAATTCGTGGTTACTCTATAGACGCCACATCAAACTGAAAGATGATAAATATATATCTCTTTTAGCGTTTAAAGCTCGGATAACTAAAGGATTAATGATGGCTGGAAAGGAAAATTATGGAAAAGAAGGTAAAATTAATTTGAAGATTGAAAAAAAGAAAGAAATTAAATTTTTCATCCAATCCCAGATATTAGATTCGATAAAATAGGGCATTGGCCCTCGGCGGCTCACAGACAAAGATGCAAGAATTGCAAAAATGGTTATACCAGATTTGAATGTTTAAAATGTAAAATATCTTTATGTTTAAATAAAAATCGCAATTGTTTTATTTCTTATCATTCAAAATAAATTGTATATTTTTTTACATATGAATATCCCAATGATGACAATTGGTAACATTTTATAATTAATATATATATACATTTTTTAAAATAAAAAACGTTTAAAATGTGTTATTTGCGTCTTATTTAACTCAGTTTTAGAAAAAAAAATTTTTTGTTCACGTGAAATATGTCGGGCGCGAAAGGGTTAATTGCAAGATATATATAACATTTTTCCAAAAGATATAATATAAAAATAATTAACTATTGTTTAAATCATGTTTTTTGGCAGGAATGAGAAAGAATGCCCTTGCTCTGGGTCCCCAATTAAAACTTTAAAACCTTAGAATTCATTCTAATTTTTTATATTGTAGAGAACTAAGATGAACTTATATAAAAAAAATTCAAGGAAAAAAATACTGCCTTTCATTTTATACTTTTTCCTGTTGATTTGTTGTGGAATTATTTAGTCATATATTTATAAAGTAAACGTATAGAGGGTAAATTTTTACGGCATGAAATTTTAAAAAATTTACATTTCTAAAATGGATTCAACCAAGATTTTTCATTTTAATTCCCTCTCATTAGTATTAGCACATTGGAGGATGATAGTATCAAAAGATATTGATAAATATAAAAATAATATGGCATATAAAAGAATAGGTAAATAGATATTATTAACTTCTTGGGAATCCCTGGCCCGGCGGGCATCGTCTTCATCATAGCGATTACAAGCGTACCAAGAAGAGCCGTGGGGTTCCCAGGGACCGAGGCAAACCCAGCAAAAATCGGCCTTGCAGCTCTTGTTTTTGCACACCATGTGATTGCAACCGCCATCCTTCTCTATAGTCACGTTGCATTTTGGGCATTCCTACATATAGATATTTTTCAAGTATTATTATAAGTGTTGTATTCCTTGGTTTTTGTTTCTCGGTGGTGCAATAAATGTGTGTATATAATTTATTTGCACAATCAAATAGCTTTTCAGAGATAAAAATAGCTTATATAAAAATTTGTTATAGTAATTTATAAAATCTATATTTTGCATATATATTTTTCCTATTTTTAGTTTTTTTTTGTTAAGAGGTAAAGGGCAATATGGATTTTTAAAATTAATTATCTTTCTATCTTTTATTATTTATTAGAAATGATTTTAAAGTGATCTAGTATTTTTAGAGGCATTATTTTTGCAAACTGATGTACTCTTTTTTTTATTGATTAATAAAAGTTTCTTTCCTTTTTTAAACTTACTTTTTTTTTAATTTTCGTTTTTAAACCTTGGTATTAGCAGCAATCCAATTAGAGGTTTCACTGTCATCGTCGCATTTCTTAATCCATCTCCTAAGCCAATTGCACTTGACGGGGTCATGCCAATTTTCACAGCAATTAAAACTGGTTGGGGGAAGAGGGAAATTTTAAAAAAAATAAATATATTTGCCGTTAACAAAATTTTAATTTTAAAATATATTTAGCAGTGTCGAACCGATGTGATAACGGTTTAACATTCCGATTCTTAGTTTAAAAATTTAAAAGGGATGGTTCTGTTCTAGATATTTTTAAATAAATTTATATTCGTTCGTTCTGGCTTGGATATTCATATCGGTTCGATTTATATAATAACTATAGTAAATTACAGAACCTGGAACTATACGAACTAATCCAACTACTTATCCTCTAACTACATTAACAATCATACAACTTACTACATAACTGAGACAACTGGAACCACACTAACTTACAGAACGACTAGAACTGCACCTAATTACGATAACTAGAACTGTACCAACTTACGGAATAAAGAACTCCTCCAACCACTTATCCTCTAACCACAACTTACTACAGAACCGAGACAACTAAAATTACACCAACTCACAGTACCATTAGAAATATACAAACTACTCCAACCATTTATCCACTAACGACAACTGACGATTATACAAATTACTACAGAACTGAGATGACTGGAACTAAACTAACTCCTCAGACAACTAGAAGAAAACATTTACTCTAACCACAATTGACACTTATTATGTGCTATTTTAATTAAACTAACTATTACACATATACCCATATATAATATTTGAATAATGTCCTTAGTAACACAATAAATTGTGTTTATTCTATATTTTCCTTGTAATAATTTACTTATACTGATTGATTTTGAATAAAATAGATATATATATTATAAAAAAAATTTTTCTAAATGAGCTATTAATAAAAGTATTTTAAAAAATTCAAAATTTCGATATTATTTTTTTTTATAAAACTTGAATAAACATACTAAGTAACATAACATAATCACTAGTATTGTTAAAGTAGCTTAGTTACAATTGCTGGGATGCGACAAAATAAACTTGTTACTTTTCAAAATATATTATATTTCATTTATTACCTTTATATAGACCTGTGGGTGGTTGACCGGCCGCCGATATTTTTGGCCACGCCTAAAACGCCGCCGTTTATGGACACGCCGGATATCGGCGGCGCATGACCGGCGCAAAATTTTTCTCACTATTGTAAATTTTTTTTAACAATCAGGATTTTGATTAATTCTTATTTTATACCAACATCAACATCATAATTATTTTGACATCATTTTCGGATTCGATCCATCAAAAATTCCAAAGAATGTCAGAAATGGTGTTTGATTAGGTGAATATGAACACCACATATTATTGGGTCATAGTTTATATAATCTGGTTACAATGAATGGTATTAAATGCGTTGAAAATCTTATCAAAAGAATAAGAGAAATTAATACTGCTCTAAGTTATAAAACTGCAGAGACTGAATTTGAGTTTGAGGCAGATCAAAGATGCCTAAGTACAATAGATTTAACATCAGATATGCTAGATATAGATAGCATTAATCTATACCTTGATGACCGTTTCAAATTGGAGATTTCAAAGATGATAATAACAATAAAGGTACACATATAAAAGCGTTAAAATTAAATGTCCCAACATATAATATTAATTATGTTTGAAAGCATATCTGAAAAAAATACAAATCGTTTTGAAAAGAATTGGAAAACACTATCTAAAACTATGAATCAGATCTAGTGGAAGAACTACTAGCTTTTCTTTCAAAATTTAAAGAAACAGATGAATTTCTATCTGTATAAAAAAAGCCTACCTTAAACTTGGCATCACTCTTTAAAAGTGATATAGAAATAAATTTAATAGTATATGGTAATGATAGCTCAGAAATCATGTTCCTAAAGGAAAATATGCTAAAAAAACTTGCATTACGATTTGAATATATAAGGATATTCATTTATTTAATTCAGTTTTTATTTAAAAAATAATCTATGTGTCTCTTCTAGACCGTGTCAAAGTCTATAATAGAAAAAAATTATTCAGCCTCAGAATATATTATAAAACATCTCAAACGTATGGAGTATGATGATATTAGGGTAGTAAATATAGCCATTGAGAATCAAGAGGAAATATTAAATTCAAATTATTTAACAAAATTAGCAATTCAACAAGTACAAAGTATGATTCCACTTTAATTGATTTAGAACATGATGCCATATTCTATTCGAAAATCGCTATTCACAAAATTTAATTGTTCTAAATTTTTGGAGAGAAAAGGAATCGAACTTCCTAATCTTTCAATGCTAACTAAAAAAATTCCTTGTGTTCCGACAACTAACATACTTAATGAAAAAGTTTTCTCTACCTCTCTTGACGTTGAAATCAAGGAGATCATCATTATGTCCGAAAATTTGAATGAAATTATTTTTATACATGATATATAAAATTACAAAATCGATTTTGAATTTATAATGAGTTTTATCTAAAAATATGCGAGATATCTGCAATATTTTTTTTAAAAAAATTAATTAGCTAAAAAAATATATGTTATAAAAATTTATAAGGCCGTCGATTAGAATGAAACTCGCGTCGGCAGCTGATAGTTTCGTTAAGAGCACAGGTCTACCTTTATATGATTATTTCTCAAAGTCATCATTATTTTATTTATTAAATCTCATTTACATAAAGAACTCCCGTAGAACGTTCATTTAATCTAGGGAAGCTTATTTTTGGAAAAATATTAGCACACCTTTATACGCAAATTTTGAAAATAGTTTATTGTTCGAGTCAGATTAAAATTTATTAAGCTCAAATTCTTCTAAAAAATAAATATTATAACTGTCTTTATATATTTTTTTTCAATGGAAATATGGTGGCCGACATATGTTTCGTTTTCACAAGTTGTGGTTTCGCAGAGTTTCCCATTCTCGTAGGCGGATGAGGAGGGCCTAAGAGTACTTAGGGCTGTACCCCACCCATATTTCGTTGTAATCATAAGGAGATTTTGGAGTGTTTGCTTTTACGATCGAATGCCAATCTTGATATCAACCCCTTTGTGACTTTATACCCAGTCGAGGAAAACGGTGATCAAATTCTACCCCAGACCCCAGGATCCTTTAAACCTTCATTAGCTGGGTAAAGATGTTGCCACTCCCCGCCACGTTGAAGCAGAAGGTAGGATTATTTTTTTAATGCAAATAATTATGAGGTAAATTTTTGTGCACTTGATTAAAATTTGTAAAATTTTATATAATAAAAAAAATGAAGTTACATAAATTATTTATAAAGCAACTAGCAGTGTAACTAGCTACTTTTGGAATTAATTGTAATTAGTAACTATTATGTAACTGGTAAACTGTTATTCACAAATAAAATGTTATGAACCGTTTCATAAGTATTTATAGAGATTGGTGAGTTCCCTCAATTTGATATATTTGTTTATGATATTATAGTTTGGAAGAAAAGGTTCAATACGATTTACGGTTGACTCGACACTCTAATATTCAAATCACATTTAATAAATCATCAAAAATCGACGGAATTATTTTACTGACTAGGATTCAATATATTATTTGTAACAATTAATTATTTAAAAAATTACAAAATGATTCATTAGCTCTTCTGATATTTTCGATTTCTTTTATAGCCTAAATTATTTTATAAAACTAAATTTTTCGATATACCTATATTCCTTAATTATTTTTAATATAATTTTATAAATCAAGTTTATAAAAGTATTCTTTTTATAAGTAACATTATAACAATATAAATAATATAAAATAAACCAAAACACGTGTCCGCAAATGCACTTAACGGGCCTAGTGTCGACATATTGGACCTTCATAGCAAATTGACAATCTGGCGATGGGCACCATCTCATCAATCTATTACACTTTAGATATTGTGTTATTTATATAATTATAAATAAAATAATTATTTCGTGAAAATTATTTATAGATATCCTATTCCTCTCTGAGTTGATAAATTATTTATTTTTTTTAAATATCGTTAATTATATTGCATATAGAACAACTAAGATTTATATAATATATTTTAGATTGACTCCTAGTATGTTTGAATTTTTGAAGTCTAAACTTGACTTTTTTGTATATTTTAACATGGGACCCCAATCATTTACTTTCCAAAAGTAAAAATTGTCATAATATTAATAAGGAGATATAAAAAGTTAAATTTTGACTTAAAAACAAAATAACTCTAAGAATAGCCTCACATTGAGTAAATACCCAAAATAATGAATGTATAAATATTATTATAGGCCTATACCTCTACAAAACTATTGGTAATGATATGCTGGTATTTGTAGCGGACTTGTGGGGTTTTAACTAGACTCCTTATATTCGAGAGAAAAAAACAAAAGAAAATTTAAAAAAATAGCAAAAATAATAACAAAGATTATAAAAGTAATCTTCAAGATTTGATATTAAATGTAACAAAAATTTAGATTAGTAAATATCAGGTATCAAAATTAATAAAACCTATAAATTAATAATATGCTATATTGGCTTAAAAAAAGTGGCTAATACAATTTTTTAAAATGAAGAAGATAATTTAACTATATCAATCCATGCCAATGGTTAAGGTTTATTGCAACAGATATAATTAATATAATTTAAATAAAGATTAATGAATTAAATGTGTTTATTAATAAAATCCGACTGGAATGTCGTCGAGAACAAAAATCCTTTAGATAAATCAATAATTTAGACTTGAAAATAAAATAATTTTGAGTTAAAGAAAGCATACATGACAGTGGCATCATCCACTAGGGTATCGCATTTATGGGCGGCGCATGATATCGTCTAAATTGAAAAGATAAATATTTTTAAATAAAATTAACTCTCGTCGCGGTTTAGTGCAAAGATGGGGACCAAAAAGTTCCATCTTTTAACCTATAGATAGAACACAAAATTGGAAGAATATATGATTCCATCGTTTCTAGCTTTCCGTTTATAAACTTAAAAAATGAGTAGTTGAGCGAAAAGTAAAAAGTACCCCCAAATCCTAAAAAAGGTCGATGTAATTCTTGTCCAAGAATGATGGCTATTAAATTGAATTTTCAAAAATGGGTTATTCTAAATCATATTTATGATAAAATTTTACAAGTTTCATTGATGAAAAAGACATTTTATTGATAATCATGACATATTGACGAAATAAATATTTCTTATTATCCCACTTTGGAGGCCGATCCGATATCAAATTGATATCGGACGATTAATGATCCGAAATCATATCTGATTTCGTATTCTGTAAACACACTAATCGTTTTAATTTTTAATGCAAACCTCATCTCATAAACCGTACAAACATCAATAAGTCGAGTTTTTATGTCAAATCACCACAAAATTTCTTCATTTTTATTTTAAATTTTCGTTGTTAAATTTACAGTCAAGATAGTTAATTTAATATTATAATTTATTTTATAAAGTATATTATGTTAATTAACATATCTTCTTATGAAGATGATTTAAACTGGTCTAGCTCCAATATGAAACATTTTTTACATCAAAAAATTTGCAAAATTGTGGCCCAACTCAAATATTTCCTCAATTGTGGGATAAAGAGAGACAGTTTCAAAACTGTGCAGCCATTTTTAAGGAAAAAAGGGAAGATATCTTATTGAACTGGTTATAACAAGATGAAACTCTTTTTATAACTCCGTGAAATTAATAGACTTATTAAGGAAAATGACCAATTTAATAATTTTTTGATAAATCCGAATTATAGAGATTTTCAGATAATGACAAGTCGTTCATAGATATTTTGTATTGTTGGTTAGTGTTAATTAACAAATATATGTATATATATAATTTATAGGTATGGAACCTGTTGCTCAGTTCTTTCGATTTTAGAACATTTGGGATATCTCACCCCCACGCTATTATAATATTAAAACTTAAAAAATAGCTTCAAATAATTTCAAGTTTAAGCCACTTATTAATACAATCCTGCAAGATATAGATAAAAAGTATAAGTTGAAATATTGTTTACAATTTATATTTTGATTATATTTCTTTTCAATAGATTCGAACACATCTATAAAGATGAATATATATAATCAGCAATAATTCACCCGCTGTTTAAATTGAATTGACCCTGAAATTATAGGTCAACAAAGTAGAAAGTTTGAACTTATTTCCAGTTTGAGAAAATATCTTGACGAATAAAAATCTGACTTTGATTTCTTTAAAAAAACAACCCACATACCAGATTATTTTCTGATAAAGATAAAAAAATTTTGATAAGGATCTGAATTAAGATTCTTTTGAAGATAATCTATTGTAAGGATATTTTTTAATTTTTAATTAATTCCCCCAATTAAAATTTTTGTTCATTAACATCCTCTGCGCCAGTTGAACGTGGTTAGCACGGCTAAAGATGGGTTGAGCAATATCTGTTCAAAATTTTGAAAATCAATTGTTAAAAATAAATTAAAAATTTTTATAAAAATATTTTATCATATATTATTTTTGTATAATTTTATTTGTACTGTATATAGGGAAAAAAATTATTTTAAAAGATCTTGTAAAAGGCTTGGCTGAATCTAAATATAAAAAAATGATAGATAGAATAATTAAGGATATAAAGTTTGAAACAAAAATGTAATAACATGGTTTCCTTTATTCATCTCCATCAAATATAAAATAATAAATTATAAAGTAAAAATATATTAAATTAACATTATAAAAAGATTATAGTAAAAAACTATGAAATATTAAAGTTAAAAATAAAAAAAAATTCTTTCCAAAAAAATGAAAAGTGAATTATATCCATAAGATCTCAACTATAGATCTTTCCTTTAAAATTTACATAGTCTATATTATGAAATTAAGTAATATTGTAATAATTCTTCTAATTTGAATGACATTTTTTGTCTAAAATATTCATCTGAATATTAAAATAGAGCACATCTTATAATAAATTATTGTGTGGGAATTTTTGTATATAATATTAAATTTATCAAGTAACGAGTTACTTTTTAAATAGGCAGTAACGTGAGTTCCATTTTTCAAAAGGTAACGAGTAACGCGTTACTTTTTTGAAGTAACGTTTATAGCATTATATTAAATTATCATTTATAATAAGGAGAATAACCAATTTGACATATCTTGTGATAAATTCGAATTGCAGAGATTTTCACATAATGACAAATCGTTCATATAGATATTGTATGGTTAGTAGTGTTATTTAAAAAACATGATATATAATATATGATTTTATGTAATGGAACCTGTTGCCTACACTCTTTTAATTTCAGAACATTTGGAATATCTCACTCCCACGATAACTATTATTATATTAAAACTTTAAAAATTTGCTTGAAATAATTCCAAATTTTGTAAGCCACTTATTAATGTAATCCTGTAAGACATAGATAAAAGGTATACAGTTGAAATATTGTTTATAATTTATATTTTGATCACATTTATTTTCAATAGATTCGAACACAACTATCAGCAATAATTCACCTGCTACTTAAATAGATTAGTACTAGATAAAATTTTTACGTTAACGAAGGTAGAAAGCTTGAACTTACTTCCAGTTTGAGAAAATATCTTAACAAAGAAAAAGCAGATTTTGATTCCTTTAAAAAACAACACACATACCATATTATTTTCTGATATAGATGAAAAAATTTTTTGATGAATATCTGAATGAAGTTGAAGATGATTTATTAAGCTTTTTCCAAAATAAGTATTCTTTAATTTTTAATAAATTCCCTCAATTAATTTTTATTTATTAAATGTAATACAACCCTCCCATTCTTTGTGCCAGTTGAACGTGTGTTTAGCAAGGCAAAAGATGTGTTGAGCACACTCTTGTTTATCAGATCAAAATTTTAAAAATCAATTGTTAAAAATAAATAATGATCATAAAAATATTTTATCTTATGAATAAGAAAAAAATTATTCTAAAAAGATCTCATCTTATAATATATTATTTTTGTATATTTTATTTATATTTATAGGAATTTTTGGTATATTTTAAATAGCCTGTAACGATCGTTCCTATTTTCAAAAGGTAACGAGTAATGGTAACGTGTTTCTTTTTTTGATTAACGCGTTTCTTTTTTGAAGTAACGTTTAGAGCACAATAAGTAATAAACAAATATATTATGAAATTTGAAATAAATTTTTTAAAATTTTAACGCCATTTTATCGGATCGGATTAGAAAATTATAATATCGGCCAATAACCGATATTTTAAAAATAAAAATGATTAAATATCGGCCTGATCCGATAATAAAAAATGTTGGATTAATTTTAATTCATTTATCCTAATTCAGAATATTAGATTTCAATCTGCACGAATATTTTAGACACATCATTTTAATTGGGCTAAAAAACACTTATTACTCGTCTTAATCATTTTACTTCAGCCTCAACTCTCAAGAGCTTTTATCTCCCATTTTTTATTTTTCTTAACAATATTGTTATATATTACCAGTCCCATTCCTTCGTGTATGATTTTCGTGGACAAATATTCGGACCAACAGGAAATGCAAAATTTGTGTCCACAGTCGAGGCCCGTCATTTGCTAATATATATTTGTTTAAAAAAATAAATTATAAAATAGGAAACTAAGATATTCCCCACCACATTTAATTCCAATATATAATATTCTTTTTAAAACAGAAGTGGGGATGAGAGAACTAAATATGATTTTAGTCCGATTCAGCATGAAACTGACTACTTTGGTAAATGTTAAATTTACTATAGATCAGAAAAATGGGATATAAAACCCCAGGTCTCCACGTTCGTGGGACTAATGCCTGACCACATAGAGGCGGGACGGCCTAGAGGTATGCAATGAAAGGGTTTTATCCTCAAAGCCTACCCGCCTATTGTTTTCTAAAAAAATTACCCCCTCCCACCAATTTATCTAAAAAATGTGATTAAAAATTATTTGATTGGTATTTTATATAAATGTATTTTTACTTAAATGTATAAAATATGAAAAAATAATTTTTAATAAATTAACCTACCCCGCCTATTTGTCCACCCAATATTTAAATTTTTAACCTGCCCGCCCACAGTGGGGGGTGAGCGAGCTAAAACTAGCCAGAATCAAGAAGCTGCTTAAGGGAAATTAATTTTAAAGAAACTGATTATTTTACATGATCTAATTTCGCTGTATATTAAGCCAATGAATATAAGGTACAACCATTTTTAATGATTATCAACAAATTATCAGTCATCATTAAATAACTAGACAAAAGAACTGTATGTATAATGCTTTTTCATCCTTAATTAAAAGATCTTAGCCTGGCTTCTATGCTTGAGTGTTGTAATGAACTATTTAGCGAATGTGATGAAGAATGAAATAAGACAAAATTAATAGACATGCCTTTTTTTAAACAAGGGTTCCCATTTTAAAGAATGGTGTATATAGTTGACCCTGATACTCAAGTGTCGATTGCTTTCATTTTAATTCATTTCGCGTATTACTAATATCAATAAAATTCTTTCCTAAATATCTTGGCTTTGGTTTTTTAAACCCTTTTTCTTGCAATAAGTCTGCTTTCCTCCAGCATAATTACTGAAAGAAATAATTTTTTCTGTAAAATAATTTTTTAAATTTATTTATTGATTTTATTTTTTACACTGTATTGTTATTTTATGACTAGATAACACATATATTTATAAATTATATATAAAGATATAGATATTTATTTTTTTAGAAAACCGAATAAAATAATCACAATTAGATCAATATAATTTAAGCATTGATATAAGGTCGCTACTTTATGATTTTACTTAGAACAAGAGAGCGATTTTAAAAAACATGCCACCTGGGTTAATTACGTAAAAAGGTCATTTAAAAATCAATTGAGGGTGTGTTTAAATAAATATAAATACTTACGATTTGTTTACTTTGGCCATAAAGTATGACACATGAGTTACTGAGTGACATCTACTACTTGAAAATAATGATTTTATTTGTATTATATTAATTATAATCATTTGTCGTAGTGTCGATTCAAGCAATAAAAATGTAAAAAAACTTCTTCGTTCAAACAGCAAAATATTATACGGCGATTTTCAATATCAACAGATGAAAAAGTCTTTGATGCCAAAACTAAAATTAAGATATTGTTACAAAAATATGCACAGCAAAAAATCTTTTTATTTTATTAGCCAAAAAAAAATGATAGATATTATTTTTGATAAGTAACTATTAAAAATAATAGAATGATTAAAAATATGCAATATTAAATAAAGTTGCAGCAGAACTTTGAAGAGCAATTCTATCATCTATGACATATCCAGGATATTTGTAGAGAGGGATATAGACTTTCGGCGCCATAAATTTTATTGGATATTTTTAGGTCCCCTTTTTGAGGAACTTTGGCCAGATATAATGTTGGTTTTTCATATTTCTGGAAAAAAATGTTTATATTGGTTATTATTTAAAAAAAATTATAACTTATACTTATAGAAGGTAATTTTGAAGAAAAATTTTTTTGAGCCCCCTGAGATTGAAAAGGCTAGTGACTGTTAAACGGCTAATTTTGAGCCGATTTTTAAAAACGGCTAACTCAATATTTCCAGACAAAATATTATGCAAGCCTGAAGATTTTACCAACAATTTCGATATCAAAAACTGATAAATTAGCGACGGTTAGGACATTTTTAGATTATGGTTGAAAATTGCAACAATTTGGGATATTCAAAAAACATTTAAGTCTGGATGAACAAATGATACCCTATTATGGAAACCAAACCATGAAGATCTACATGCAAAAAAAGCCAGTAAAATTTGGTGTAAAAGTTTGGTTTAATCTTCATCTTGTGAATATATCATTTTACTTTTGATATTTATACTGGGAAGGGTAACAATAAGCTAGTGCTCTTGGTTAAAGTCATGAGAAATTAATAGATATTATTCTAGCATTCAAGAACATGCCCTATTCCAAATTATTATTTAACACGAATTTATGCAGAATGCTAAGAGAAAGGTTTAGGTTGTACAGGAAGCATCTGCCTTACCTCAATTCATGAAGTAAATAAAATACTCCAAAATATAGCATATTTTGTATACTTTGCCATAAATTTCTGCTAACTGTGTATACAGGGTAACTTGTCATTAACAGTTAGCAGTAATTCATGGTGGAGAATACAAAAATACAGAGTATTTTGCATAATTCACACAAAATTGCACTAACTATGAATGAGGAGTAAATTGAACTGAAACATGGTTGTATCAAAAACTAATAAAAAATGTCCTAATAAATCATTATAAAATAAATGTCTTGAAAAAACTGGAAAAAAATATAAATTTTTTAAGCATTTAAAATAAGATATATAAATTTAAATTATATTAAAAAAATGTTGGAAATAGATTAAAGCACAAAAATATTCTTAAAAATGATTGCATGTGTATATATAAACTTACAAAGTATTGATGAAAAAAATATGGTATATAAAATATAATTAAGAAGTATATTATAAATTTATAATGTAAGATTTCATTTTCTTAGGGAATAAACTAGTTTTTTAATGATTTCAATTGTGACTCCTTTTTCTAAAAATTTCAATTTGTCACTAATATAAAAAATTATCAATTTTTACTAATTTTTCATTCAAAATTTTCTTTATAGTAATATAATGTAAGTTTTTTGGTGGAGAGAAGGGTAGAAATGTGTAAGGGAGGAAATTTTATTAAATTAAAATGATATTTAATAGAATAGGCAAATTTGGGATGAACTAGGGAACCTTACTGGTAAGTGTTTATCTTATAAAACAAAAGATGACAATCTTTAATCTAATTTAACTCAAATTATTATATTTTATATTTGGCAAAAATATTTATATAAGAATCCCTCATTGGGAGAAATTTTAGTATATTCATATACAACCATTATATTATTTAAAAAAAACCTCAAATCAAAGATTATACAACTAATTAATGATATAATAATAAATAAAACAGAAAAAATATCTTTATTTATATCTCAACTAATAAGGAAAAAAATTGAATAGTAGATATAAAAAAATTATATATAAATAATATATTATTCATTTATATATATATAATATACTTTAATTGGAATTTGTAAAAGGCATATTTCACATAATGCAGTTTGGGGTTCATAAATATTATTATGGTAATTATTTGAATGATAATCAATAATATTTGATTTCTATATAATATAAAAAAAATACATTTATTTATATCTTATAGTTAATAAAACTTGAGATTTATTCTTATTTAAAGGGTTTGAAAGGTGAGCCTCAGCAAAAAGTTTATCAGGATTACCATCATAATATCTTAACAAATATAAAATAACAAAAATGTCACTAATCTAGATAGACCTCTCTAAAAGTTTTTCTTTATCCCATTTGAAATGATGCAGTAATAAACGCGTTGCAGTAGTAGGAAGCTTTTAAAGGAAAATAATATTTTTTATAAACAAAATATATTACTTGAAATATAATGTTGACTTCTTTAATAATCTCAATCATATGTTTAACTACTTTATCTGGACTTAAAACTTCATATTGAAATTCTTCCTCAAAAGAGTCTTTAAAAGCAGATGATGCTGTATTAGAATCTATAACCTCCATTGGAATATCAATCATTTCATCTTCTGTACCATCACCTTCTGATAAATCATACATCTCATTATATTCCATCAATTTAACTTTTTGAATAAACTTAATTAAGCTAGTTTGAACATAGATTTAGATTAGCTACATCATTAAAATTATTTAGAGAATTAATCACTTATAAAAAAAAATTATTTATGTTCATTTGAAAGAAATTAATAGGTGCAGAAGAGTTAGGGATAAATGTAAATATATTATATTTTGGAAAGTTTTCTAATATAGTTAATTTAGTACGTCTTATATCATGCTTGATCATCTAAAAATTAATTATAAAAAAATATCCTTTTTAAATATTTCTATAGTAATATAATTTGTTTGTCCAATATTTAACTATACCAAGGTTGGACAGTAATTACATATGTAATTTATTACATAATTACAATTCATTTTTTGTACTAGGCCGTATTTTAGTTTTTAAAAAAAAATCCGGACCGGGCTATATATTTTAAAACCAAATATTTGAAATCGCCATTATTAGCTATAAAGATCAAAAATAAATATAATATATTTTGAAAAAATCCGGGCAGCTGTAATTTTTTAAAAAAAAAGCCATGCAAACCCTGGCCGAGCAAATTATGCCTCTGCAGGTCACTTGTGAGGGTAATTAATTATATTAGAAAAAGAATTAGTAATTATAAAAAATTACAGTTCTTAAGACTCTTAATTATAAATTAGTAATTTTAGTTATAATTACATTAATAATTACTTTTTTCTTAGAAATAATAAATTATTATGAAAAATGCTCAATAATTGTAAAAATTCATTTATATTTTTAAAAATCCAAATTTTAATAATTTCGAAGGTACATTTTTATTATATATATATTTTTTTGTTATATATATATATATATATAATCTATATTTTTTTAAAAAAAATCTACCACGGGTATTTTCAAAATATATATAATTAAAATTAATAAAAATTGTGCATTGAATTTAAAAAAAAAATCCAAAAAAAATAAAAAGTTTAAAAAAGTGATTTAGAAAAAATTACGTAATTTTTTAGATTATGGCTGGTATTGAACCATAAATAGACACTAAATTTTATTTGCATATAGCTCTTGGGATTGCTGCTTTGATAAAACATTCATTTTGATCTCGGGATTTAGACGAGTTTTACAAATTAAAACTTTTAAAAATTTAATGGCTGCGGGGCTAAAATACGCTAAAGTTATCGTTAGCAACGGAATAAAAATAATATCAGTAGTGTTTAATTTCTGCTGTGAATGTTTCAAATAAATGTAAATTGGAATGTATATGCTGTAAGATGTAGGAATTCGTAATATATTTGGAAAATACTTTAGCCAAAATCTAAATTTTTTGTCTTTGACGGAAAGGGGCAATGCGTACGCGTCGGCTTGAATAAAATTGAGATAAATATTAATTTTTTAATATCAAGATTTAATATATCCTCATTAGGATTTCTAGATAATAGTATTTATAAATTAGAAAGGCCATTTGAAGAATCACAAATCATTTATTGATTTAAGTCCAAAAATGTATCCAATAGTGGAATAAAAATGATTATTTATAGTAATCCTCAATTGAGTCCTATTCGCCATTCTCATAACTTGGGCCAAATCATATTATCTTTTTGAAAAATATATTTTTGCTATGTAATTAAATAAATTACTAATACATTCCATTGCAAAAAAAATCCGCTCTCTTATTGATCTAATAATGAATTAGCTTCACATTAAATATCTGGTTCAGGCCTAACCACTATTTCTCGAAGATCACTCATAAGATCCTTGAGATTTAAAATTGCTATGAGAGCTTGATATCGAAGGTTCAATCTTGTCGGCTATGCCTTTTGCAGTTTTTTCTTGTAGCATAAGAATTCTCATAAATAATTATATTCAGGAAATTTCGTCTCTTTGGATATTTGAACATTTTCCTACACTCTTGAAATTTGCTTAATCATATAGTTTTTAGTAGAGATAAATAAATTATATTTTTTTAGATTGGTAAAATTTTCTTATATCCATGTTTAAGGTTTAAAAAAATGTAAAATATATAATTTAACTTTTTAGGAAATAAAATATTTATCCACAAGAAATAATATTTAAATTAATTTTAACTTTTGCTAAATTTAAAATTTTCCATCTGAAATAGAATACGTTGTAATTAGTGTTGCGTAATCGGCTAAAAACTACGCCTAAGCCTAATAAGGCTAAGCCTAAAAATCGGCTAAGCCTAATTAGGTAAGCCTAAAAATCGGCTAAAACTAAAAATCGGCTAAGCCTAATTAGGTTAAGCCTAAAAATCGGCTAAGCCTATATAAATCTGCTAAAAATTAGTCAAAATTCTGCATCGATGCTTAGTATTAATTATTATTTATTTATTTTAGTAAAATAATTTATTTTATTTATATTTAATGTAAATATTTTATTATTATCAACAAATAAATATGATATGATTTAATATTTTTTATTTATATTATTATATTTTCAAATGAAAATAAATTTATTTATTTGATGTTATTTTAATAAAAAAAATAATATGCTGCGTAATATTCTTTTTAATATAATTTATTAGTGATTTTCACAATCTTCTTTATAAATACATCTTTTATTGAGGAATTATATTGTAAATTTTATTAGATAAATAAACAATCTTTTAGGTGAAATCTTTTATAATTTTTTTATGATTTTTTTTAAATTATCTTTTTTATTAAATGAGGTGGATTTTATGAAACTTTTTTGATGATTTTATATGATCTTTTTAAGGATAATATTTTAATGTGACAATTGTCATAAACGTTATTTTATAAGTTTTTTGAATTTTTTTGAAGAAAATAGGTTAAAATAAGTATTAATAACATGTGTAAATATAAATTTAGTGAAGATGTACCAAAGAAATGTGACAATTGTCATAATCGTTATTTTTAAAGTTTTTTGAATTTTTTTGACGACAATATGTTAAAATAAGTATTAATAACATGTTTAAATAAAAATTTAGTGAAGATGTACCATAGAAAATTGACAATTGTCATAATCGTTATTTTTAAAGTTTTTTGAAGAAAATATGTTAAAATAAGTATTAAAAACATGTTTAAATAAAAATTTAGTGAAGATGTACCATAGAAAAGTGACAATTGTCATAATCGTTATTTTATACGTTTTTGGAATTTTTTTGAAGAAAATATGTTAAAATAGTATTAAAAACATGTGTTTAAATAAAAATTTAGTGAAGATGTACCATAGAAAAGTGACAATTGTCATAATCGTTATTTTATAAGTTTTTTGAATTTATTTGAAGGAAATAGGTTAAAATAAGTATTAATAACATGTGTAAATATAAATTTAGTGAAGATGTACCAATGAAAAGTGACATTTGTCATAAACGTTATTTTTAAAGTTTTTTGAATTTTTTTGAAGAAAATATGTTAAAATAAGTAGTAAAAATATGTTTAAATAAAAACTTAGTGAAGATGTACCATAGAAAAGTGACAATTATCATAATCGTTATTTTATAAGTTTTTGGAATTTTTTTGAAGAAAATATGTTAAAATAGTATTAAAAACATGTGTTTAAATAAAAATTTAGTGAAGATGTACCATAGAAAAGTGACAATTGTCATAATCGTTATTTTATAAGTTTTTTGAATTTTTTTGAAGAAAATATGTTAAAATGAGTAATAATAACATGTTTAAATAAAAATTTAGTGAAGATGTACTATAGAAAAGTGACAATTGTCATAATCGTTATTTTTAAAATTTCTTTGATGTAAATGGGTAAAAATATAGATTGTAAAATTAAAATTTCCTGAGTATATGCCATAGAAAAATATATGGTAATAATAGATTCTTCCCCAAAAACATTAGCAAATTGGCATTTTATTACATTTGTTCATCGGGTCAGAAATTAATATGCAAAATTTATATCATAATATCTAATCCTAAGTTAGAAATTATTATTTTTTTACCAATTTTCACCAGACAATCTTGTTTAAAATTTGGGTAAACTTTTTTTTCTATTTTAAAATCAATATCGATGCAAGTTAACTATTTTCGTCAAAAAAAATCAAAAAACTTTAAAAATAACGATTATGACAATTGTCGCTTATCTAGAGTACATCTTCACTAAATTTTTATTTAAATATGTTATCAATACTTATTTTAAAATATCTTTGTCAATAAAATTCAAAAAACTTTAAAAATAACGATTATGACAATTGTCACTTTTCATTGGTACATCTTCACTAAATTTATATTTACACATGTTATTAATACTTATTTAAGCATATTTTCGTCAAAAAAATTTAAAAAATAACGAATATGACAATTGTCACTTTTCATTGTCTTCACTAAATTTATATTTACACATGTTATTAATACTTATTTTAACATATTTTCGTCAAAAAACTTTAAAAATAACCATTATGACAATGTCAATTTTCTATGGTACATCTTCACTAAATTTTAATTTAAACATGTTTTTAATATTTATTTTAACATATTTTCTTCAAAAAAATTCATAAAACTTTAAAAATAACAATTATGACAAATGTCACTTTTCATTGGTACTTCTTCACTAAATTTATATTTACACATGTTATTAATACTTATTTTAACATATTTTCTTCAAAAAAATTCAAAAAACTTTAAAATTAACGATTATGACAAATGTCACTTTTCATTGGTACTTCTTCACTAAATTTATATTTACACATGTTATTAATACTTATTTTAACATATTTTCTTCAAAAAAATTCAAAAAACTTTAAAATTAACGATTATGACAAATGTCATTTTTCATTGGTACATCTTCACTAAATTTATATTTACACATGTTATTAATACTTATTTTAACAAATTTTCGTCAAAAAAATTCAAAAAACTTTAAAATTAACCATTATGACAATTGTCACTTTTCATTGGTACATCTTCACTAAATTTATATTTACACATGTTATTAATTCTTATTTTAACATATTTTCGTCAAAAAAATTCGAAAAACTTTAAAAATAACGATTATGACAATTGTCACTTTTCATTGGTACATCTTCACTAAATTTGTATTTACACATGTTATTAATACTTATTTTAACATACTTCCTTCAAAAAAATTCAAAAAACTTATAAAAGAACGATTATGACAATTGTCACATTAAAATATTATCCTTAAAAAGATCATATAAAATAACATCAAAAAAGTTTCATAAAATCCACCTTATTTAATAATAAATAGATAATTTTAAAAAAATGATAAAAGATTTCACCTAAAAGATTGTTTATTTATCTAATAAAATTTACAATATAATTCCTCAATAAAAGATGTATTTACAAAGAAGATTGTGAAAATCACTAATAAATTATATTATAAAGAATATTACATTTTTACAATATAGCAGCATATTATTTTTTTTATTAAAAAAACATGAAATAAATAAATTTATTTTCATTTCAAAATATAATAATATAAATAAAAAATATTAAATCATATCATGTTTATTTGTTGATAATAATAAAATATTTACATTAAATATAAATAAAATAAATTATTTTACTAAAATAAATAAATAATAATTAATGCTAAGCATCGATGCAGAATTTTGACTAATTTATTTTAGCCAATTTTTAGGCTTAGCCGATTTTTAGGCTTAGCCTAATTAGGTTTAGCCGATTTTTAGGCTTAGCCTAATTAGGTTTAGCCGATTTTTAGGCTATACCTAATTAGGCTTAGCCGATTTTTCCACCTAAAATCTCGGCTAAGCCGTTTTTAGTCGGCTAAAATTAGCCGATTACGCAACACTAGTTGTAATTGACAATTCATGAAAAACTAGGGAAAATCTGAAAGTGAGGAAGTGGGGGAGTTATTTTCTTTATGAATTTTATTATTTCACATAAATAATTTAAAAAGATTAAAAAAATTATATAAATGAATGAATGCAACAAAAAACACAAGGAGATGGGCAAAAATAAAAAATATGCCCAATAGAGAGTTGACTAATTTATCAAGGCTTTTTCTAATAGTAGTTAATAGGAATTTGATTGAGACTTACAATTTTGGACAAATTGGGGAATTATCCAAATTATCAAAAGCTCACATTAGGCATTCGTATCCTTTTTTTAAATTTTGAATTCCAGGATACTAGTTTTTTTAAACAATATAATTCTTTTTAAATATTTTTATCTAATATAATTTAAAAAATATGTTGAAAATAATATAATATAAAAAACTTGTAATATATTTTTTATGTGATAAGTATAAAAAAATTTCCTTTATATAATTGTAAAATATTCCATCATTGATCACTTTTTATATAAACTGAATAAATACTCATAAATTTGGTTTAAATCGGATATGCTCTTATACTCATATCGTCTTTTCATTTTTGCTACCAAAAGCCAATACCCAAAAAAAAAATTGGCCTATTATATTAAGGGATAAATACAGAAACAACCTTTATTTTTCATCATCCAAAACAAACAATCAATTTTTTATAAAACAAAAATATATTATTATAATATATAATAATACTATTAAAAAAAAGAAGGGAGATGGTGTGGCGCAGGGAAACAAAAATGAAAAAGGGACGTAAGTGTTGTTTAGGATAGCTCTTTGGCTAGAAGACTACCATTGAAACTGATATAATTAGCTTTGAGAATCGCTATGGATAGTCGTTGACGAAGAAAAAAACCCTCTCGAGGTTCTTCTGAGAGTTTGCTGATTTGTGATCCTAAGTTTTTGAAAAATGCTAAGGCGAGTTTGCCGAAGGTGCCAAGAGTGGTTGATATGATTGGGATGAAGCAATGATCGTTCATTATTTCTGTGTATTTAGAAGTTTTAAGTTGTTCCTCCTGGTCAAGGATGTTGATGGCGTGGTTGGATGGGGCCAAGGGGTCAATACAGGAATAGACCCATACCAAAAGTTGGCCTCTCCTCCATGGGATTTGAGAGATCCCGTCAGGACGTTTACCGTTGATTTTTAAAAAAATTTATCTACTAATTTATAAACCTATAAAAGAAAGTGTTGTTATTTTTTCCCCTATTTCTTGCGTCACTAACTTTATCATGAAGAATATAGATACAAAAAAAATGAATCAAATGAATAAAATATAACTTTGCCTTAATTTTTCAATAAACACATAATAGGCTAAAAGAAGTGGTCGGTTCATCTCTGGTATAAATTATAAATTTTTATTGGAGGGAGCGATTTTTTGGTTAACAACCCCTAACAAGAGTGTTAATATGACCTAAGTGCCATTTTTATAAATTTTTGAGAGAACTAAATATACTTAGTATGTTTGTGTATAACCAAGCGTTTTCTCAATAAATAAAAAATTTAGAACAGTTAAAAATAACAAATTATAAGATATGTTTTTGTATTATACTGTATTGGGCTTGGACAAAAGACGATTTTGGATTAAACAAAAGCAAGCCAGAAAAAACAATTTCCAATTTCTTTTTTTAAAATTGAGCCTAAATAAAAAGGTCACATTTTAATAACCAAAACAAATATAAAATTTTTGGTATTAAAAAGGTATGTAAATAAAGTTTGACACAATCAAATCAATTAATGACATTTATTATACCATAGTAAAAAATTTGCTTAAAACATAAATTGAAAATTTATTAAAAAGCCTTCAACATATTTGTTGTAAAATTTATTAAATAAAATATAAATGAAATCATTTTTTTGTTCAAATCATGTTTTAAAAAACTTCTAAATTTAAAAAAAACATCTACAATAAAAAGTTAATAATTTATGTCTAAAAAAACGGTGATCATAAGTTAAGGCTAAATTAAATTTATGATTTTGATGTAAAAGAACCCAAGATAATCTTTAATACAAAGGTATACATATATTTTTGGAACAAAAAACACAAATTTATAAATAAAATGCCAAATTATTTGTATATAATTTAACCATTATATTTAAATGAAATAAAAAAAAAATACGGGGCAAACCTAATAGGTCATGTGTAATAAATTTTAATAGATAAGGGATGGGACTGTTCATTTATGCGCACAATATTGGCTATACAAATATATTTAAATTAACAAGTTACAAGAAATTGGCGGCACAATCATTTGTATATAAAATTGTGTATGGTATATTATATTTATGAATCAATGTGTAGAATAATAATGAAAAATATTTTTATTAAGTATTGAGCTGTGAATAAAATTATATTTCTTTGAGGGAAAGGGGGGTGTGAAAAAATAGCAATAATAAATATAACAATTATTTATATAAATCATTCATTTTACAAGCTTTCCCCCACCCTTATTCTCATAGAACATATAATTTTGAGGATGAATTGTTTGAATATCGATTGAAAAAAAAATGTGATTAAAAATATTCGAATTTGCAAATTTAAAAAAAATTAAAAGGTATGATAAATAAAGTTTCATAAAAAAATATTTTTATTTATACAATAAAATTTATAGTATACTTATGGATCATAATGTTGGATAATAAATTTGTTTGATCTATGCAAAATAAAATTTTGTTATAAATGGCTATCACAGATGCGGATATATTATACTCATATATTCAGTATAAATAGGAAATGAGGTTAAAGTGAATTCATAATGTGATGAGTTTAGCATTGGCATAAGATTTTAAATACAAAAAGTGTCCAATTCATCTTAAATTATAAATAAATACTTAAATAATATTGATTAGATTAATCATGTCGAATTATTACATCTTCAAATATAATTACATATAGAATAAATTAATTTTTTTAAAATTTATAAATAAACGGGAGAGGGTAGATTGTGATTAATTACGAAGTGGGAATTTTTTGATCATGAAAACGAAGCGAATGGATGAAAGAGGTTCGAACGATTTTGAGAAAATATTAAACAAAATTTGATTATTTCGTTGGAGGAAAAATAATTATTCAACATCTAAAATCTGTTCAATTTTCGTTTTTGAAAAGGCTAGAGCGATCGGAGGTTAACGAAAATAAATTATATATATATATTATGTAACGTATATAAATTTCAAAATAAGACATTATAATAAAGGGTTCAAATAACTGTTTCTTCATCGTCTTTTCCTAGATTCATTATTCACACCGGAGCGGGTTAAAGTCGAATTACTATTCCTATCATTAACATTTGTGGGATTGTTTCCGTTATTATTATTTCTGTTATTATTCCGATTTCTACGGTTGCTTCCACCACCATTTCCTTGATAATTATTTACATTATTATTTCTCCTGCTATTTGAAGTGTTATTATTACCCGATGTTCTTGTTAAATTATTTCTGGGTGCATCATTGGATATATTTGCATTCCTGTTATTACTATTAATGAGAGAATTCCGCCGTTCGTTGTTCAAACTTTGGCCATTGTTTTCTCGGTCGTCATTATTATTTCTCCTTATATTTCCTTGATTATTACGATTATTGCTGGTGTTTATTAAAACCATCGCTTCACTCGAATCGCTCAAATTATCATTAGAATTATTGTAACCAAAATGACGATTAAAATTATTGAAGGCTGGGTAAAAATCTATGTCATCTTCCTCGCTTTCACTAGTAAAATCGTCTAAATTGTCTTCCATAACTAGATCGACAAAATTTTGCCCTAAAAGTTCAAGTGAATCAAATCTAGCAGCGAAAAAGTCCCAAAGCAGGAGTTCTGCAGCCATTGAAGATCGCCCACTCCGATTAGATGATCTGTGATAATTAGAAGAAGGAGCCCGAGATGCTAATGTACCGTCGGGATAGGCGTGCTTGTAAAAACATATGCTATTAAGTGGGCATTTACCAGAGCCCTTGAGGAAGTATTTGCAGTGCTTGTCACTTTTAATAAAAAAAAATATATATCAATCAGAGAGGAGGTAGAATTTTAGGCTCAGTTCCCGGATTTTAAAAAAACATATTTTTTTAGCATGGCTTATGTATCTTTGCCTGCAGTTTTTCCTTTTAATTTGGGATCATTTTAAAACCTTGTCTAGATTATTAAAATTTAGCTATTTTAAATTTTTTTAGCGGCGTATCGTAATTGTTAAAAATTCATTTTTAAAAAAATCTGACCTGGTCCCGCTTTTGTTAAAAAAAGAATTTTTTATGCTCGGCTTAATTTTGCAATTGATTTTTAAACCAAGCCTGCCATTTTTTATGAAACTTAATCATATAAATTAATTGAAAAAAAAGTGTTTGAAACTTTATTTGGTTTGGATAAGGAGTAGTCCGAGTTGTGTTTACAAACACCTTAATCGAACTCATATTAAGCTGAGCTTAGCGATCATAAATTTCCAAAAGACACACGAATTATTGTAAATACATGTTAACGCAAATTTACCATCCTCATCTTGTAAAGAATCTTAGGAAATAAATTTACAGTGTATACACAAGCCACGAGCGTCTCCTTACTATAAATTAGTTTTTCTGGTAGATCGCCACTCGCAATCAATCAAATTATTTTTTAATCGGCGCCATCTTTTGAGATGGTGAAGCGGAACGCTCTTGGTCTCGGACCTTCCCGGAAATAGTAAAGTCCCGCGATTAAACGAAAATTTGCTCTTCCACGTAAGGTGCTCTAACCCAAAATTTACAAAGTTTCAAACTTAAATTGTAAGTATGTGGAAGTTATGATTATATAAGTAGGCCAGAATAATTATGAGACGGGTATAGTGGCTTATGACATTCTTACGTTCGACACAGAAGAATAAATGTATTTTTTACTCATGAATATGGTATTTGATTGATTTAATAATATACCGAATATTGTCGGATTATTATAATGATTTTTTCAATTTTATTTATAATTGTATCCTCAAATAAAACATAATATTAATTAACGCCATCTATTTTAAAATGGAGAAAAATTTGAATTTTAAATTATAAAGTCTAATACTATAAACAGGCCCTTAAAATCTTGGTTATTATTTGACTATATTCAACAAGAATGCTATAAAAATTTATTACTTGGAAAAAGATTCTCTATGAAGACTGATTTGTAAAAGAATAATTAACTTGCATAAGGAGAAATAAAATATTAGAATTTTAATTATAATAAGTCATTCTTTTTGAAATTGACTATTGGTTTCATCAAAATAGGTACTTAATATCAGGGTTGAAAATAGTTTAATTCGTTTAAACCACTTTAATCGGCTATATAAATTTTTTGGGTAAAAAATTTATTGGATTTATCAAGTAATTAATTTATATAAAATTAACTAAAATGAATATATAAGTTAGAAAATAAATCATCTTGCTTTAATTTTTCGCGTCATAGATTCTTTCAAGTCTTGGAATCATTCAAGTGTAATTCCCGTTTCCTAAATATTTGCCTTCATTTTATTTGTAAGACATCGTTTTTTCATTTCTTTTTTCATGCAGACATATGTTATTAACCTATTAATGGTCAAAAATTTTCTGGTCGATAAAAATGTTCAATTATTTCAAATTATATTGATTAATGCCCAAATATGATATTCTAAAAAAATCAGCCATAACAAAATAGAAAATCTAGCCTGGTGCATATCTGAACCGCTAACAATTAAGAGGTTAAAAAAGATAAAAATTATGTATAATACCCAAAGAACAAAAAACAACAGGAATCTTTTTCTTTTTTTGTAATTCATAATAAAAAAAAAGAAAATGTTTATGAAAATTCTTGAAACATTTAATATGAAGTGAGATTTGACATGTTTGGCACATATATATTGAGTGTGTGTGGCAAAATCTGCATCTATGTCTTTTTCCATTCATAATTTTGGATAAATAATGTCCATATGAATTAGTAAGGTATTTCACTTTGTATTGCAAACTGGCTTGTGTGCCATGTACTTATTTTTTTTTCAATTTTAATTGGTGTTCAAAAGAGGTAGTTAGTAACTTCTCGCCTAAATACAAGCAAACTCTTCTTGTCATCTTGATTCACGAATTCCCAGATTTTAAAGAATTTACCAAGGCTAGATCGATAAAATTGGTGAATAATGGCCAACATCTTTTTTTCCCTTTTATTTTTATTCTATATGTAGATATGAGATTATCTCAGAGATTGACTCCACCCATGTGTTTGTTTTTGTTATAAGCAGTGATCATATTTGGCTGAGGAATTTTTATTTTATAAGATATTTTCTTGAAATACCTTGAAACATTAAGCGAAGAGCTGGTGTGGCATGTCGATGCCGGTCACCATCGAATTATCATTTCAACAAATAAATATTTTTTTAGATTTTTCGACAAGATATCTTCTCTTTTTTTTTTGCTACAGCCTTTATAGATTCAACTGGGTAATGCTCTATTCTATTACACTCATAGTTCCAGTTGTAAAATATCCCATTTGTTTTAAGTATGACAAAAGTTTAAATGAGATAAAAAAAAATTATCAAAATATATTTTATGATAATTTGGTTTTTGTAATGCAGTTAATAATTTTATTATTACAAGATTTATAAATATTCGATTTTTGTGAAATCATTCCATATTTCGATATTTCATTTTTATTTTCAGTGACATTGTTTAACACACAGGTGATTATTAGGATCCAAAATTGAAGATGCCAAATTAATTTATTAAAATATATAATTAATCAAATTCATTCTAAAATAACATAAATAAAATAAAAAGTAAAAATATAAAATCAAACAATCAAACTAAAAAATTATAAAACTTTCCTTTTCTTTTTCTTTCTTCAATTATTACATTTTTGATCTCAATATTTACTACTAAAATTTACATATCATCGATAATTTCATATAATTGTCATTTTTTATTACAAAATTAAAATTTAAACATTTCAATTACTGTCTATTTTTAAAATTATAAGTAAGTTTTCTTTTTCAATACATGTATTTGACAATTATGATTTTTAGGCGTGATTTTAGGGTTTATAATGTTAAAGAAATGTATTTTAAATTGTAATTTTATTTACAATTAGGAGCTTCCCTATAAAAGGGGATCGAATTATAATAAATTAATTATTGTTTTTATTATATTTGAATAAAAATTTGTTGCGGTCTTTTTGGTATATTCAAGGAGAACAACTAATAGTTAGTGCCGAGACCAAAGTAAGGAAAGAACCAATTTTTTTGATAATACATCATTTTTCGGAAATATTGTGGAGCACTGTGGTTATTTGAGGTATTAGTGGAAAAAATTGTGAAGCAGTTTACCGCGGTTATTGGAAGTGGTAGTAAAAAATTGTGAAGTGGGTTACAGTGGTGATTAAAAGCGTCATTTCAGTGTAATTTTATTAATTATATCATATTATTTAACTTTATAAATTGTTAAAATATTTTTGGTAATATTTTATAAATATTTGGAAGTAAACTATTTTGTAAAAATATTTGGTGATAAATTAAATTAATGGATATAAATTAACAAAAATTTTGGACCATTTTATTTTAATATTTTTACAAATTTTAATGAAAAGTTTTAAAATAACAAAGCACGCGGAGTTACAGTACAATGTATTGATGGGCAGTGGTAATATTACTGATATGATTGTGCCGTTTATTCTTTGGTAGGAAAATAAGGAGAAAGAGAAGTATTCGAATTCGTGGGCAGTCGTTATTGGTGGAGGGATATAATGAGAGAATGAGTGAATGATGAAAAATGAAAATGATGATGAGAGGTATGGCCGTTTATCGACGACATCGATAAGTATCACTTAAAGCTTTAGTAAAAACTTTCATTTAGTATTGAAGCACAGAGGGGTAGAAATATGATTTGTTAGAAATGTGGCGTTAGGGGACACATTGCGGTAAATTGCAGAGTTCAATGTTTTGAATGTGGAGAAAAGGGTCATATTTTAACATATTGTCCGGGTAAAAGAGAGAGATTACGATACGCAAGATTTGGGCATGCAAAAAATGATTGCAGAGTTGGAAAGAGATACAAGAGGAGGCTTTCCACAGAGGGGAGAAAGTTCGAATGTTACCAATGTGAAGTATAGCGGAGGTAGCAGCGAAAGGAGAAATGGATATCGAATGTAAAATCGTGTTTCAAATGCCAATAAGGGCATTGGGCGAGAGATTGTGATATGAAATGACTATATGGTTGTGAGAAAAAGAGTTCAGGCTGAGGCGTTGAGAACAGAGGGGGGGAAGAGATGGTAGTGAGGATGTTATAGTATTTATAAATTTAAGACTCTTGCAATTTGGGTTAAAAGAATCATCTAGTTATAAGGAACCCTTTTATATTGCTGAATTCTAATTCGTCACTAAAAACGACCTAAATCCACAGAGATCACTCCATTTTTCATATTGTATTTGCCTTTTAAAAAAATAATTCTCTTTATTAAAGAATAACTCATCTAATTTTTGCAATCTACTAGAGCGAGATTTTTGACAATAATCTTCCTGATGTAAGAATTCTATTCAATTACGATATTATTAAAATGGTGTAAAATATCCCTCTATATGTGTTTCCTTCGAATTCTTTTAAATTAGAAATAGAGGAAATATTTAAATATTCTTGAAAAATAAATACTTAATAAAATCCGCTATTTGTAATCAAAAATTAATATATCAAGTAAAATGGGTTCGGCTTTTACTCTTGGCAGGTAGAAATTAACCTAGTATGTAGAACCGTTTGTTTATATTAAAATTAAAGGTATTATTTATAGAAACTGATATTGCAATTTTTATAATTACCTTAAAAAAATGCATCACGATGTGTGATTAACAATTTGATTGAAGTTTGAAAAAATAAAATTCAATAACGTATTCAAAATATCATGCTTTTTTTTACCCCAAAGTTTTTTTGTATTCTTCGATCATTCTTTCCTTTTCCAACTTTTCTTCGACCCATATCCTACTTGGCATTATGAAATAAGACTGTATCCTACATTCAGGACATGATCTAAAAAATATTTTAGTCATTTATTTTATTTGCGAGAAAATATATATTATAGAGTTGACCCCCTCCCCAAAAAATAAACACGATAATAGAAAAGAATAAAATAAATTAAGGGAGAAATTTCCTCAAAAAATGACTAAATCTTTTGAAATAGAAAAATTAATATTTTTTTATTGTAAAATAATTTATTCTTTATTTTAGGATTAACATTATAAAATTCTCATTTAATTTAAATGGTCTAAAATGTTGATATATTATTTTATTTAAATTTTATATTTAGAAGATTTTTCTAGTAAAAGACCGTTTATTTTAAAGAATTTCGGAGTAGTTATAATATTTAGCATTTTTGATTTAACCCAATTAACCATTATCACATTTATGTAATAAAGGATTCATTTAAAAAATAAGCCCTAATAACCAGTAATTTTTTTTAGTAGGAACCGATTGGTAAATATTTTTTTGAAAATGTATAATCAAGAAGACTCTTAAAATCATTAGTGCTAAGAAAAAATATTTCATAGCAATTAAGTGACTAGTTTTTAGCATTCACATATATTTGTAAGTAATTCATTTTTCAATCTAAGACTTTTAGTTTAAAATTCGAGCAATCATTATTTTTTCTAAATTCAGTTTTTTTTTATCTGAGCTAAAGCTTAGATATAAATTGGCACTCTAATTCTACCTCTAGAGAAGAGTTTGACTCTGTTAGCGCTTCTCTATTTGTGTACTAAATTTAGGATTTAGAAGTTATTTACCATATTTCAGAAGTTAGGTTTTTCATAAAATTAAAGTATTTTACGAGTGTTAAGTTTTGTTTAAGGATTTTTTTAGAGTTTTAGTTTTAATTCTGATTTATTAAGTAAGTGCCTTATTTAAATAGTAATTTTTAAAAATTAAATTAACCAAAAGTTCAAGGTCTTGATTTAATAAAAACAAATTTTTTTTAATTTCTTGTTTACCCCCCTCCCATTTTCCGTCAAGATGGTTCGAGTTTATCTAACTTCATTTTCTGTTAATTAATATCATACCTAATGGTAGAATGATCGATAGTCTGATTCTTAGTTTTCCTCCAGTTCATGATACAAGGGAGGCAGTAACAATGCTGGCAATTTGGTAGTATACCGAAACGTTTGTCGGGATTGTTGTCGTAATCAGACGTCGACTCTAGCACTTTTTCGTAGCAGATACCGCACGTCTTTTCTTCACTCCTTTGCACCGCAAAGGAGAATTCCATCTCTAGCTGCATCTCTTTGAGGCACGCCTTTATATTTTGGTGAGGGGAGAGAGTTTAACATAATTATATATGAGTAACTTGTCCCTTTTCAATAAACGCCCGAATTTTTAGCCGAAAATATCATTTTTACCAAGGAGTTTGTATTAAAAATATAGCTGCTCAAATTTGAAAGAAACTAATATAAATTAACGCTTTAATTTTAAAGGATTTTCTCTGACACATGCCTGTAGATTGAGCCGAATTAGTCGATATTTAGCCATTACCCAACTATAGTGATAACAGATTTAATTCTATTTTGAGTCAAATAATTTTATTAATTCCTCAATTTATAAAAGCTAGTAGAAAATAGTTCTTTCGTTGCACAATTTTTAACCCCCAAGGAAAAAATTTATCCTAAATCATTTTCTACATCATTTACATAGAGGACGATAATCATTTTTAAATTAGTTATGATACAATCAGCACAAATTTTTTGTTTAAATCCAGCAAGCTCTTACTAAAAAGGTCATATTTCTCTTGCGCATATTTGTGACCGAAAAAAAGAAAATGTGGGCAGCTCCGAATTTTATAAATTTATTTTTAGACCACAGCTTTGCCCAGAATCTTTAATTAAAAAATAAAAATTAAGCGTATCTTCAATTAAATAAATTAAAAATAACGAATTTATTCGTCTTAATCACAGAGAAATTATAATTATCGTTACATCTTAATTATGAAAAATGTCAAAAAAATTATTTTGCCTTTTTCAGAAATGGCGTCTTTTTCTAATCAAAAAATTTCTATTTCCGAGCTACAAGGGCGCAGTTTATCTTTTCAAAAAAAAAAATTGTGTTAATGGAATTTCAATTATTAAAAATTATATGGCAATGCAACCACTCACAGCTGATTCGGACAAGTTACAAGATGAAGATATGTGATACATTGGGTTGGAAATTGTGCCCCAATTATATTTTAAAAAAGTGAGCACTTTAACTTGATCAATTGAATATTTTGCTTATAAAAGATATTCTATTTTTCTAGATTAGAGGACTAAATAGGCGACCTGCAAATTTTTCTTATAAACTAGAATTCATAGATATATGCCTACATTTTGGATATAAAAATTGCACTGATAAATGCCATGATAAATTTTGGATATTATTATTCCTTGTGTTGTTTGCCACCTATATGAAGTTTGTTGGGAAAAATAGAATATAAAGATTTTTTTAAAAATATTTTGTAATATTTAGGTTATACATTAGTAAATCTTTCAAAGTAACGAAGATTAAAATTTTTTTTAAATATATCTTATTAAATATCCCCTCTCATAAAAGTAAAAAACGAAACGATAAATTTAATTAACAAAAACCGGTTTAAAATCATTATTTAAAACCGGTTCGTAATTTAATTTACTAACCATATCTAGTTAACATTCTTATTTTAGGCTGTTAATCTCAGCAGCTCAATCATGTTTTTTTAAATTATATATAACCACTAGCCAGATATATTTTTATAACATCTATGTTCCTCCTTGATAGTTAGCGCGATAATTTAAAAATAAACTGGAAGAGGAAGTTAAAATTTGTACTTTATAACTGCTTAAATTTGATAAGTATGAGGCAAATTTTAATGAATAGGATATTATTATATAATATATAAATACTTTTTTTTAAAAATAACCTCTTGGTGGCTTTTGCTTTGTTCTTCGTCATAAGGATGCAGAACATTCTTCTGACATACATCACACAGCAGCCCATGCAAGTAAACGCATCTATCCTTCCCGAACATGCACTCACCTTCAAGAGAATAGGGACAAAGCGGTCTGGTGTCTAATGAAGGTGTGGTATTCTCTAAATTAGTCCGAACTGCTTCTGAATAACTCACTTTTAGAAATATAATATTTTAAAAATAATAATGCCTTCTTAATTTGATTAATGATTTAATTTAAATAAAAATACAAAAATAGTGAATAAATTTATTGGTCCTATATTATATTTCATCTGAAATTCCGATAATTACCATTATATCATATACCCTGTTTGTTTTATAAGATTTTTTTTAAACGTTATGAAACTAGCAATTGTAATATAAATTGTTAGAGATTAATAACTCTGCTTAGATGAAAATTTCAATTAATTTAAAGAATTTTATTTCAAAGAAAAGCATTTTTTAGAAGTTCTCTATAATTTTTAGACCTGTTTATTTTTATTCAATCTACTTTTCACAAAAAAAATATTCATATTAAAACAGTATAAATATCAAAACAAAATCAATATCCTATTAAAAATATAAATGTAAAACAAAATCAAATAAAGGTATGACTGTAGGAAATCAATTTTATAAGCAAAATTTAAATATTACAGATGTTGATCTCTCATCATAATTTAATGTTTAATAAATCCCACTTAAAAAAATGGGATCGGTTTAATTAAAATAATGTCGATCCAATATTTTCTTTAGACGGCGCAGCTCCAAATTAAAAAGCGGTATTATATCAATAATTTAAAGCTTACTCAATGTATTGTAGGCCGGATAGAATTCCTTGGCGTTAACGTTTAGAATCTTTTGTTTGATGGCTTTTTTTACTTCATCACTTTCTTCGGTGCCTTCCTCAATGATAGTTACTTTAAATTTATGTATGTTAACTCATATTTATATACAATTATAAGTTAACAGTAATAAATATCATATCAAATTATGAATATATATCATAAAGAGGCGATTTGACAAAAGAATGGGCATTCATCATCGTATATGGGATTGCTTAATGCAATAAACTAGGGAGTACAATTGGTTCCCAATTTAAATCAGGTTTCACGTAAATCAGAAATTTTAAAATAATATACATATATATATATAGTAAGAGAAAAGGGTTAATTGTTGTAGAATAAATAATAATTTACTACTACATATATATATAGGGGCCATTCTATTTTAAATGAGAGATAAAATTGTAATTTTCTGCCAACCCCTTTCGATTTCGATAAAAATTTGTAGACGTATTACATATCCTAGTTAGATTAAAAATTAAATTTTATCTAATTAGCAATTATTATAATTTGGGATAATATAGATTTAAGTTACAAAAATGAACTTTTTACCTCTTGTGGCTGTTAAATAATTAGCTATTAATTAAAAACTAAATAGAAAGAAACGTATAAGTGGCGCTATATATAAACGTCTCAACACAATTAGGGCTATTTTTTTATTGTTTAAAAGAATTTTTTTAAAAGTAATATTTTGTGTATTTATAAAATATGGCAAAAAAAATTAATCAATATGCATAATATATATAAATCAATTATAAATAATATTTAGATGGGTTTTAACGCTATAGCTTTTTTTTATTGCATTAAAAAAGTTCATTTGTAGCGGCATTTATACTTTTTAAACATTATTCGCAATAGGAATAAGCCGCCGCGCTAATTATTGAGGAAAATATTAGTAAAATAGAAACGATCAGTAGGAATTTTTTTTTAAAAATTGACATTTTAAAAATTAAATCATAAATCTTTAACTAGACATTAAATGACCATGAAAACAAAATTTTACATTTTCCCCATAATTATAAATTATTGGCTTAGTTATAAACATTGGCGTACGCAGCGGGGGGGGGGCAGGGGGACAAATCATCCCCAAAGCCAAAAAATGCAGATGCCGGATATATTTTTCAAAATATTAATGTTTATATTTATTTATATTTTTAATATTTATTCCTATCTCATATTAAATATATATTTAATTACATTTATTTATCACTTTCATCTATTAAGTTATTTTATCAATTAATTTCTATTTCAAGTTTTCATTGGCGTAATATTTACCTATTATTTTCAAATTTCTAGTGGTATAATATTTATCTACCATTTTCATATTTCTAGTCAAATAATAATTTTTCTGAAACTCCTTGTCCAACAGGGAGAAATAAAGTGCAAATTTGTCCGAGATAAAGTCTCCGCCATCAAGCAGTAACAGTTTTTATGGAGTTAGAAGAACCGATTATTAATGCTATTACTGAAATATCACAATAGCCTGAAAGAAATATTTCCTCAGAAGCAAGAAAATTATTGGATTCAATACTTATTTCAATTTTTTTTCTCTCATTAGAATGTATTATTTAATTATACAATTATTTTATGTAATGCTTTTCAAAAACATGGCATTGACTTGATTAAGAAGATGAGAATAGCGGAGAGCATTTTATTAGAACTCAAGGAAATTAGGGCTAATGTTGATGAAGAATTTCAATTTTATATGTTATCGTTGAGTCAAAAGGAGAGCTATACGTGTTTAATATTTGTCTCACTCGATTTGCAGCAAGGCAAGCTCATCGTCAAAACATTAGTATAAGATCAGTAGAAAAGTATTAAAAAACTATAATCCAAATAAATGAATGGTTTTTAATTCATCATGCAGCACTTACCAATCTGCAGATATTACTTCCACAAAAGCCTTCCCAATCTTTTTCAGATAGTGATAGAAAAAAAAAATATTTGTTTGATGCCTTATTAGCTGAATAACTATTTTTAAAAGATTAACTAAGATATAGTCTCAAAAAATGCTATGGATGCTTTGTATAAAATCAAACACAATTTAGATTTTATTCCCAATGTATTAAAATGATTATATATATATATTAGCAACTCTTCCCATTAGTAAAGTAATGAGAGAACATTCTCTTTTTTAAGAAGAATAACAGAGCCCTGCAGAGATACAATTTGCAGGGCTCGGCCTTGATTTTTTTTCGGTTTTCAGGCTAGGCCCGTTCTGGCCCGGCACGGATATTTTTAAATAAATTATATTTATTTTTGACTTTTATAGCTAATTTCATATATTTGGTTTTAAAAATATAACCGGGATGGATAATTTTTTTTAAAAAAAATCAGGCCCGGCCCGGGTGTATTTAAAAAATTAAAATACGGTCCCGCCCGGGAACCGGGCCTGCAGTTCTCTGAAAACATACCTAAGAAGTACAACTTCTGAAAGTGGATTGAATGGTTTGGATCTTTTAAATATTTATAGGCATTTGACGCCAAGCAAGGATGAGTAATTGAAAAATTAGCTCAATCCCAACGAAGATTGGATTTTAAATTGTAAATATTATACAAAATACAATTATTCCTAAGAAACATTTTGTGTATTAATATTTATATTTCCAACATTAAAATTTTTTACTTTATATATAAATTTTAAAGGCTCAAAAAATTCAAATTTCTATTTTGGGTTATTTAAGTGTTTCATATGGTGGTTATATTCACTTTATATTTTTTAATTCACATTTATTTTATAGTTTTTTATGTGCCGGTTTATATGTATAATTTTTTTATAATTCATATAATTTAAAATTGTGTATTAGAAATAGTTATTAGTCCTAATAAATTTATGCTTGATATTTTTAAAAAACAATAATATTTCTTAAAAAAATTTATTATCCCCCCCCCAGACCCAATTCCTGCGTACGCGCCTGGTTATAAAGTATAAAATTCAAGGTTCAAATTTATTTAGTTTATCGCGATAAAGGGTTTAAAAAAACTTGATTTTAACCTTAAATCTCCATTAACTCAAATAATATTTTTAATTTAATTAAAACATGATGCACCTACAAATCAAATTTTTATCGAAATTGAGGTAGGTAAGGTGTTTGATTAAAGTGAATAATAATTATATCTTGTATGAATGTATACTATATAATTTGGGAATAGACAAAATAGTCATTTGTTTGAAATGTTGAGACAATTATGATATTTCAAAATGATTAATTTAAATCTATCATAAGCATGAGTATCTAGATCTTCTTTAATATTGTTATATACTCCCTTACCAGGTTTTAACGTAATTATGATATTATTTATATTTCTTTTACTTATTCTATTTAAGGACTTTTGAAATGGAATTGGCTTGATTATGTCTTAGCATACTGTCCAAATAATTTGAGTTTCTTATAAGTTATATTATCTAATTTTATGGTAATATATTGTATACCTTCCAAAATCTAGAGAAATATATTGGTAATATTGTTTATGATTTATGTGTAATTCGTGATATTTCTCGACAATTGACTCATTAAAATTTGGGATTTTTTTAGATTAATATTTTTGTTGTCACAGGTTTCAAGCCCATGTGTTTGGTTTGTGCAGATCAAAGAAATACATGTTTTAAAGATATCTATTTATATTAAATTTACTTTGTGTTTTTTTAAATATTGATTTGATATAAGGTTAAGTCGAACCTTTATAGTCAATTTACACTCTTGGTATTTAGTTTACTTTGCAAATATTATTGTTTATTTTAATATATAATTTAAATATTTTAATAATACAAATATTTATGAGCAAAATCCATATATTTATCAATAAATTGTGAAGAAATGAAGCAATTACTCGAAATTAAAAAAAAATACCATACAAATCTCTGGAATATATATGCAATATATTGCAGCCAAATAATCCTATAAAAACTTTAAAAAAAATTTTAAATATTATAATTCAGATTTGTTAATGATTCTTTAAAGTGTATCGAATAACAATATCAATAAAAATGATTTAAAATATGTAGCACAAGATGTGTTTAAAAATAATAAGTGGATTATGTTTTATCTATTAACATATTTTCATATATACTCAATATTCATTAAACAAGCTAAAATTAATTTTCACTATTCTAGATTATTATTTATTTAACAACTATATTTACATATTTTTCTCTAATTAGGGCTGGCAACAGTACCAATTCTTGGTTGATAAAACGAATATCAATCCAATAGAAAATTAGATATATTGGTTTTTACAACGATTACTCAGTGCAGTGCCAATACCAATAGTGATAAATCGCTCCAATAGTAAAGAAATGATATATTATTTTAAAGGAATAATAGCAATATCATTCAAAAAATTAACTGATAAGAAAACCTTATATTTTTAAAGATATTTAGTGACTTTTTGTTAACACTAAAAATGTTTAATTAAATGTCTCATATACCAAGTGATATATTTGCTTTGAATTTACCACAAAATATATGGGCGCAATAATTATTTTATAAAATTAAATTATTCTCAAGAGTTATTATCTTCAGCGCTTATAATTTTGTGATTTCGTTAAAATATACTTTTCAATAGTAAAAAAAAATAGGATCGGATATGACTTAGACATTTTCTAAAATAAAAATTTCAAAACGTACATGGATCTTTGAAGAAGAAAAAATCTCGAATTGGATTGATAAAGCAAATCTTAAATTTTTTTTATCGGATCGGGTCGGACTTAAAAAAATAAGTCGGGCTCTATTTTAAATGATAATAAAAAATGATTTTTTAATTCTTCTCTTTGTTTTATGAATAGTTATTAAAACCAATGGCAACAATATAATATAGATAAAACATTGTTTAAATTATTACAAAAGTTTAAAACCGTAAGCCAACCCTAACTATAATTTTTAAGTTCGGTTTATGTGAAACCTGACTATTGGTTCTATCAAACCAGTGTACTATCGATTATATTGCATGTGTCCACTTTAAAGGGGATCGTCACCCCAGTACATGCGTTTTTTTATACTATAGATCAATATATTAAATAATCACTAAGTTCATACTAATAATTTTCTAAAATCGAAAAGTGAATCAATGCCAATATATTATGAGGCATTTATAAGAAACCTTCACTTTTTGTGATTGATGTTAGGTCTTTTCGGTCAAACGCTTCCTCTCTATATGCGTTCTCTATCTCGTTAATATAATGTCCTGGGTCAATTTGATTGGGCAGTTTGGTGATAGATTTATTAGTACCGTTATTATAATATACAGTATCATTGAGGACGTAGTAGGATGGCGAGGGAGAAATAGATAATGCTTTTAAAATTAATGATTCAAAAAAATTTAATATTATATTGAAAAGTTTGAGGTAACTAACATTAAAAATAAAACACGGTAGAATTATTTAAATGAAATAATAACAAATACTTTAAAATTTTAAATAATAACAGTTAAAATATACTCTATATGAGGTAAATAAATCAGCTTATATGTGACTAATTAAAGGTTTACTATATAAAAAAATCAAACGTAGACAATTAAAAATCCTAATTGATTTGATAAAATGGCTATTATTGGACCCCGCTCCAATCTGATATTGAATATCAGGATATCCCAGTTATAATATTCTCAAAGATAGTCTAGTAAAATTGAATATATTTACTTTAAATTAATCAGGTCGTGAACAGAGTTGTCACGTCTCCCACGTAGATTGGGAGATTATAGCAATTTAAAAAAAAAATGAAATATACAACATCATTGACCAAACTTTCACATATATCGCAGTTATAAAATTTCCATAAAATTAGAAAATCTCACACGTTTTCATTCAAAAATAAATCTTTTTAAATAAAATGTCTATTTATGTTGTACTATTTCCTTTTGATATAGCTAAATAAAGAAGGATATTATTTATTAGACCAGTAAATTCTGTTTTACCAGCTGTAAAACTTTATTAATGGCCTCATCGTCAATTTAAAAAACAACTAACCACTTCAACGCATCGACAGATTTTTATAAAATATTTTTTATCAATATATTTCAGATAAAATAAGTACATAAATAAAAGACACCATTAGTTAAATCTGGCCGAGGGCCAAGTAAAATATGGCCAAAAGTCGGCAAAGTGGAATATGGTCGTAACCCCCATGTAAAAATATAGTTAAAATTAAAATTTTTATTATCTGGCAACCCTGATCGCGAACCTAACTCATTTGGAGGATTTAGTTATCTAGTCCAACTTAAATAATAAAGAGTTTTAAGCAACTTTATAATTAATATTTTTAATGGGAATGCAAAGAAAATTTGTTTTAAGCCTCTTTAAACAAAATCATTAATTAATAATTCTCACCATCTAAATATGAATACTAGGGCTATTCAAAAACGAATCGAATAGTAACAAATACGAATAGTAAATTATTCGTTTCGTTCTAATATGAATTATTTAAATTAACAAAACAAATAATTTGAATATTCGACAAATTATTTGAAGAATTCGTTTCATTCATATCGAGTTATTTGGAATAATTATTAATATTAATCATTTGCCATTTTTATTGATAACCTAACAATCCGATAGGTAATGTGATTAACAAAAACAAGGTATACATCAACTTCTTATGAGAGGATATTCTTAATTGGAACTAATTTGCTTGCTGTCAAAAATCATAAGACTTATAAAGAAGAAACAAAATAAAAAAAATTCTTTGTCTTAAAAATTGGCTAGGAATTAATTAAATTATTAATATGCATTTTAATTTCGTCAATAACTTGATGGCATGTTCTTTATCGACAGATTATTTATTACAATAATTTTTTCTGTTTAAAATTAGATGTGCAATACAAAAATTTAAAAAAAATTTTGTCGATATATTTTTTTATATGAATTATTTTATACTTTTCAAAAAAACAAATTATCCGAATAATTCAAATCGAATGCAAATAGTAAATTTATCAATTCGTTTAAACGAAATGAATGCCAATAATGAACTATTCGCTTTTTGAATAGATTGTATTACGTACCAAATTATTTACTTTTTATAACTTAACTAAATATTTGAATAATTTAAATATTAAAAAGGTATTGTTATGAATGTATTGCACTAAATTTACCAAAATTAAATATAAATAAACTTCTTTAATATTTAAATCACTGAATTATAACCAGAACAAATCTAGCGACCGAAATTTGAAACACACTTATAAAATTTATAGGAATCACTCAAAACCCATTTTAAAATTTCCAGGAACCGGTTCTAAAAAGGTGCGTCATTTATATGATAATACTGTTTAAAATATTGTGTAATTCATTTTTGAAAGTTTACCTTTATTGTTTATTTTTTGGTTGCTTTAACAGTTTGGAACAAAAATCCTCAAAAATATGTCAAATAACCCAAAACCAGGGATCCAAACTGAAACAAATATCGGTTCGGTTCAGGTTCGGATAAAAATAACGGTTCAAGTTTTAGGTTCGGTTCGTAAAAAATAAATATATAGGTTTGGTTTGAACCTTTAAAACCGGGTTTGAACATTTTTTGTATTCAAATCTACATTCGAAGTATGTATAGGGAAGTATATTTTTTTATTTCATCATTAAAATAAAAAACATACATAAAAACTTCATTTTTATTAATTGCAGATTATAAAATAATATTTAAATTATAAATAATATAAACAATTATTAATTTTAATATGAACAATATTTAACTTTATTTACTTAAAAATTTTTTATTAGGCCATGCAATTAATATATTTTCAAGATTCGTCTCACTCATATTACATCTATAAAGAGATAGTATAAATTTAATTGTTTAAAAACATCTTTCCACAATAATTTGAGTAGTTGGCACTGCCAGTATGATATCAAACAATTTACATAATTCTGGGCATCGATTACTCTGATTTCTCTAATAGTCTAAAATGTTCATAGTTTGATTTAACTAGGTTTTTTTTTACCAAATACTTAAGGCTTATTCTGCAACATTAGATTTAATATTTTGAGAATTAATTTTAATTTTACCCACGTTTTCTAATATAGGATCAAGATTTTTTAAAACCTCTATCATCGATTAATTTGAATGGTCTGCCATTAAAAGTGACCAACTAGGTACAAGCATCGATTATTATTTTTTATTTAGTTTTACTGATATTGTTTGTTCTTTTAATGCTTCTTCCATCGTCTGTTGTCTTGATGACATCTCAAGCTTTTCTATTTTATTAGACTCCTGTTGTGATATTTTGTTAATTTTATCGAATTCTAGATGGTGGTTTTTTATGTGACGCTCAAGATTTATAATGGCTTTTCATATTTATTTAACAATCAGTAATATTACATTATGATGCGTCATTTATATTACTATTTGTAAATAATTTATATATTGGATTTAATTTATAAGCTTAAAAATATTGAAAAAATGCTATAAAATGGCAATATACTAAAGTTTATAAAAATTATGGCTGACACTTATCAATCAAATAAGAGTGATTATAATCTTTAAAACAATTCGAATATAATTAAAAATTTTGCAATAATTACACATTATTTTATAGGCATAAAATCATGAGGCTCGAACCGGTTCAGAGGCATTTTAGCTGTTCGGTTCAGGTTCGGCTAGAAATTTATTTAGCGGTTTAGGTTCGGTTTAGATTCGATAAAAAATACCAATTTTTAGCGGTTTAACGGTTCGGTTCAGGCTCCTGCCCAAAACCAACGTTTTAAAATTTTAAGTTCCAAAAGCATCTTTTTAAAAATATTCAGAACGTTTTTTTAAATCCAGTTTCTAAACTCTGCTTAACAAAAATTACATGAACTTGAACCTTAATATTAATGACCTAAGTTTTTTTAAAAAAAATTTGTCCTGCCCGGCCCGAATTCATTTAAATAATAGAAAAATTTAATTTTTTTTGCAAAAAAATATTCTACAAATAAAAAATATTAGCGCCTTGTTTCTTTCAAGAATTTTAAAATATATCATGACAAAATGTAATAATCATTTATAAAAATTCAAGCCCGACCCGACCCGGAACGAAATTTTTAAAAAAATATTAGGCCCGCCGACCCAGACCAACCAAAATTATTTTTTTTAAATAGACCGCCGGGTCGTAATTTGCAGATCTCTATTTAATTTCATGTGTGGACTAAAAAATTCAAAAACTATCTTAAAACGTGAGTGGTATTCCGAAAAGGAATTATTTGTTATTTGATTCGTATTATGAAAAAGAAAAATAATATTATCTGTCGAATAATTTTTTTTAACTATTATTCTATAGAATTATTCATATAATTTAAAATTATTCATATTATTCGAAATTATTTGTAAATATTTGAAATTAATTTAGTACTTGGGGATTTTTATTTTTTTCTCCACATCTATAAATCACTTTTCAAATTTAAATAATCCATTTTCATTTTTTAAAATATTTTTAAACAATTAAATTTTCGAATCAAATCGAATGTTTTTATTATTCGTACTATTCGAATCGCACGCATACGAATAATACAATTCGATAAAAAAGGAATCGAATATGAACATAGGAAATATTAGATTCGATTCATTTTTGATTTATAGTGAGTGTTTTAGCTTATTCTCTATGTTAAAACTGTTATCACACTGACATTTCAATATAAAGATTTGATGTTTTAAACAGTTTTTAAAACTTTAAAATAATTATAAATATAAAATTTTCAGGATTCAATATTAAATAAAAAAATTTTTTGTAAAGAGTGTCATAAATAAGAAAAAATTGCCTTAATTACTATATATAAAATTTTAATGCAAAATTCTATGTAAAACATTAGAGATGCCTGTATCAAATTTTTTCACTGTACAAATTCTGTATCCTAAAAACTTTTAATTACCTAGCCAATCTGGTACCATAAAAAATATTTATTAACGCTTTATATACATAGAAGGTAAATATAATTCAATTATAAATTGATTAATATATCATCAAGTTCAGCAGTAGAATAATTAATTAACAATATTCAATATTTATTCATATGTTTATAAGGTTCATTTATTTTAAACAAAATAATATTAAAGAAATAATTATTTTTAAATATAAATTCTTCTTTTAAAAAAATAAAGAATTGATCAAGGTCTTCAATGTCTGACTATTATAAACGAAAACTGACCTGATCAAAACATAGAAGATCCAAGTCCATACCAGTACATCTCTATTAAACATCTATAATCAAAATTCTTATTTATTTAATATTTAATAATTGTTATTAGATAAGTGAACAGCAACTGGGCCATTTATTATTATCTTGCATTGGTATAAACTTATTTTTATATAATTATTATTAGGTAAGTGAATAGCAACTGGGCCATTTATTATTATCTTGTATTGGTATAAACTTATTTTTAAATAATAATGTTTTTTTTAATCTAATAATTAAAATTGGCATTTTTCCTTCCCATCTTAAAAATAATTCAATAAAAATATATGAAATATTGTAGAAACATAGTTTGGCATAAAATAGCAGGTTAAAAATGTAGATCAAAATATTGCCAATATTTTTTGTAGTAGAAATTTGAAACTATGGGGTGTTGTATAAATATGCCTCAGTATAACATTAAAGGCAGTGGTCTGAAAATGGCAAAATTCTCAGGCCCAGCCCAGTAAAAAATTTAGTTTTTGCCCAGCCTGGAAATTTTTTGCTTGGTCTAGTTTCAATTCTTTTACTAAGGTTGACTAGCCTGGCTCGGTGGGAATTTAGTTTTTGCCTGGCCAAAAATTTTGCCCAACACAACCCAGTTTCGTTTATAACATATAAAATATACCATTGTCAATGTTAGTTATAAGGTTATCATTATTTGTAGGGGAAGGGGTTAGTTTTGATGGGGATTGAGGAATTATGGATGTTAAGGCAGAGGATATTGTGACAATATTATTAGGTTTATCTGAATCAATGAATATTGATGATTCTAAGATTGATTCAACATCAACAGATTGAAGATCATCATTATTTGAAGTAGCTTCATTTGTAAGTGCTTGGGTGCAAGATTGCTTAGTTTGTGATTGTGGTTTAACATGATCATACCTTGACATATTTGATATTGAGTAAAATTATCCAAATTATTTACCTGCATCTTTTTTCGAAGGGGCATTTGCCATTTAAGTAATATCTGCAAACTTGAGTTGGTTCACAAGATTTATCGTGTGAAAATGTGCACTGTGAACCCAAATTACAATATCCATATAAGAAATATCTTGTAAAATAAAAATTGTATATATTAAAATTAATATAAATTTCTATATCTTCAAAATAAATATGGTTTAAAATATTAAGAGTATACTAAAAATTACTAGAGTACATCTAAATCTAGGCTATTTGAATATTTGGTAAAATGCCAAAAAAGGTACATTTGTATAAAATATATGAAACATAACTATAAATTTTACTTTAAAAGTATAAATAAAAAAATCTTACCGACATTGGATTTTTTTCGTAGACATTAACAAACTCTCATCACTAATTGTTTATAAATTAAAAGCATAAGAAAATGATAATATTAAGCTCTCCTAGGAATATAATAGTAAAAGAAATAAATTATATATAAGAATATGTTGTAGTGGTGGCAGGCGCGTACGCAGCGGGGAAAAGCCAAAAAATGCAGATGCCGGATTATATTGTTCAAAAATATTATTGTTAATATTAATTTATATTTGTTAATATTTATTCCTATATCATATATATATATTTAATTACATTTATTTATCACATTCATCTACTAAGTTATTTTATCAATTAATTTCGATTTCAAGTTTTCCTTGGCGTAATTTACCTATTATTTTCAAATTTTAGTGGCGTTTTATTTATCTAAATATCTAGTTAAATAATAATTATCTCTGAAACTCCTTGTCCAACAGGAAGAAAGAAATTGCAAGCTTGTCCAACGAGATTGAGTCTCCGCCATCAAGCATAACAACTTTTATGGAGGTAGAATAGCCGATTATTAATGCTATTACTGAAATATCACAATGGCTTGAAAAAAATATTTCCTCAGAGGCAAGAATATTATTGGATTTAGTACTTATTTCAATTTTATTTCTCATTAGAATATATTATTTAATTATACAATTATTTTATGTAATACTTTTTAAAAACATGACATTGACTTGATTAAGAAGATGAGAATAGCAGAGAGCATTTTATTAGAACTCAAGGAAATTAGATCTAATGTTGATGAAGAATTTAATATTTATATGTTATTGTTGAGTCAAAAGCAGAGTTATAAGTGTTTAATATTTGTCCCCCTTGACTTTCAAGTTGCAACAAGCTAGCTCATTGTCAAAACATTAATATGATCAATAGAAGAGTATTATAAAAACTAATGTCCCATCTCTTAGATACATTTATAACCCAAATAAATGAATGGTTTTTAATTCATCAGGCATCACTTACAAATCCGCATCTATTACTTCCACGAAAGTCTTTCTGGTGATAGAAAAAAAAAAATATTGGTTAGATTTTTATCATGAAGATGTATAAGTATCTTATAATGCCTTATTAGCTGAATAACTATGATTAAAAGATTAACTATGGATGATACAGTCCCAAAAATGATATGGATGTTTTGCATTATTTCAAACACATTTTAGATTATATTCATGATGTTAAAATGGTTATATATATTAGCAACTCTTTCCATAAAAATTCTCTTTTTCAAGAAGAATAACAGAGCCCTGTAGAGGTACCATTTTCAGGGCACGACCCGGATTTTTTTTAAAAAAATTTTTAGGCCCGGCCGGCAGCGTCTACATGGCCGGGGGGGGGGGGGGTAGGAGACAAATGCCTCCAAAATATATTAGCATTTTTGGGGGTAGGTATCGATTTTAAGGGGTTGATATTAATTTTTTGGGGGTAGGCATTATTTTTTTGGGGGTAGGTATTGATTTTTGGTGGGTAATTTTTGATTTGAATTATAATCTTTTTTTAATCCATTAATTGATACGATTATGATGGTTATCGTTTGATTTTCTGAAAAATGTCAATTAAAGTAAAGATATTTGTCAATTAATAAATAATATAAATTTTCTTTGTCATTTAGCATTTTATCAAGTTAATATTTACACATTTCCTATTTGGTACTTTTCTTAGAGGTTAATATATTTATATTATGTTTTTTAATAAATTTATAGATTTTAGCAGGATAAATTTTAGGTAATTTTTTGAGTCATGCATAAAAACATATATCAGCAAGCAAAGAATAATAAAAAAAACATTTTATGTAAAAAATTATATTATAATTATTATTTCTTTCTAGATGCCAAGTAACAAAACGATATTTAAAGTTAAGTGCAATATTATAAATTGTAAAACTTCTAAAATAAGAAGTGACAAGATACATGAACATTATAAACATAAACATCCTCATGTCAAGCCAGCTGATATGAAATTTACAAAGGTAGCCATCAAAAGAGATAATAATAATTGGGTATCTTTAAATTGTGATATTCCATATAATATCACAAATGGAGTTGAAACCCAGTTGCAAAAAAAGACAATAACATCTTACTTCCAAAAAGTAATATTTTTATTTATTATTGTAACTATAAATTTGTGAATTAATAGAAACTGATTTAAAATTTTACCAGAATAATATTAATATTAAAGTAGTCAGGGTATAGAGAAAATAAATTATATATATTATTATTTACAGTTTTTTAACTGTTTATCACACTATTTTTATATCTATATATACTTTATAAAATTCAATTTAATAATATGTTTAATAAGTTAATAATAATAATTTAAAACCAAAGTAAACTTATTAAGTTAATATAATGTAATAAAATAAGGTAATGTTAATTTCTAGGAATTTTTAAATTTAAATCTTTTCATCTTTAATTGAATTAAGACTTCAAATTCTTTTACTTTTTTTAAATATAAATCTTATAAAATATGATTTGGATTCAACTATTTTCAAAATGTTATCTGTGTGAGTTTCATCCCCTTTATTTACATTATGTGTTATATTAGGTATGTTTATTATCATTGTTTTATTTAGCTATTAGAATTTCTTTAGATAATATACTTTCATCATGAATTTCACAATTTTATTTATACTTAATATTGTTTTTATTTTTATAGTCATTATAATATTGTTTTATGATTTCTTCATGTGATCGCAGTTTTATATTAATCTGCATCTATCATGCCTATGAATCTTTCAAGTATATTTTAAAAATGTTTTTACATGATCTAACAAAGTCATATTGATGTTTATGATTATTGCGTTCAAAATATGTGAATTCCCTTTGTATTCTACATTCACTTGTGCTTTACCTATTACTTGTATCATCTTTCCATTGTAACCTGATAACTTTATGTTGGACTTCATAATATTTTTAATACCTGTTTTCTCAATCATGTATTCATGTAGAATTAAAACATTTATTAAAAATTTAATTATAATGTAGTTAAAAAAAATTATCATTTGCCTAAAAATTTATTAAAAATATAGTTATCATAAGGAATGAAATTAAACTCCTCTTTATTTATAGAAAATCTCAGTTATTGAAGATTCACAAATTGTATTATCTCCTCATCCAATCCCCAGTTCCAGTGAGGTGTTTACTTTGCATGATGAGGTATTTAATTTAAATATGAATTATATGATAACTTTTGAAAGAAATAAATTATGATTATGAGGTTAATTAAATATTTCCAACCTTTATTAAAAACTTAATTATAATGTAGTTAAGAATAAAATGACCATTTGACTAAAATTTTATTAAAAATATAGTTTTTCATAAGTAAACAAATTATACTCTTTAACGCAAATCTCCAATATTGAAGATTCACAAATTGTATTATCTTCTCATCCAATCTCCAGTTCCAGTGAGGCGCTTACTTTGCATGATGAGGTATTTAATTTAAATACGAATTATATGATAACTTTTGAAGAAAATAAATTAGGACATTTAAATATTTCCAACATTTATTGATTAACTTAATTATAATGTAGCTAAGAATAAAATGACTATTTGGCTGAAATTATATTAAAAATAGATTTTCATAAGTAAACAAATTATACTCTTTATTTATAGCAAATCTCCAATATTGAAGATTCACAAATTGTATTATCTCCTCATCCAATCCCCGGTTCTAGTGAGGCACTTACTTTGCATGAGGCATTATATTTAAATAAAATTTATATAATGACTTTTGAAGGGAATAAATTATGAGGATATTCAAAGTCCAAGTCTTATTCAGCTATACAAAAAAAGGAACCAAATGACCCTTTTCACTTTATATTATTTAGGATGACAAATATTTTGATAAATTTCATAATTGCTGTAGGCCCTTGTCAGCCATGTACAAATAAATTTCAATATCCTGTTACTAACAAGAGGTTTTAAATAATATTTATTTTCATTAATTTTTACCCATCCATTATTTCTATACTGTTATAAATAGTTTTATTATTTTTTTTTTGTATGAGTCATGAAATATTTTTTTGTTTGAAATTTTATTTTTAATATTTTTTTTTAGTTTCGCGCAGTCATCTTGAACGTCATTATATAAATGTTTTTAATATTTATTATGTAAAAAAAAAATAAATAATAATTTAATATTTATAAAAAAAAAAAATATCTTATATAAACTAAAAAAAAAGTGGAAATTCATTATTAATCAATTATACTTTTTTTATATTTATTGTTTTAAAGAAAAATAAAACCATATATTCAAAAAAAAAAAAAGGGGTAAAAAAAAATATACTGTTAAGTTAAACGTTTCTGTACAGAGAAATTTTGAAATTGGTGCCGTGTTTATACAAAGCAACCTGGTTAGTGCGGTTGTCGTAATATCATATAGTGGTATTTGAGTCTTCGAGTGGAAAATATCATATAGTGGTATTTGAGTCTTGAAGTGAAGTGTACATCGTCTTCATCTACATCTACGGTAAAATATCATATAGTGGTATTTGAGTCTTCGAGTGGAAAATATCATATAGTGGTATTTGAGTCTTGAAGTGAATTGTACATCGTCTTCATCTACATCTACGGTAAAATATCATATAGTGGTATTTGAGTCTTCGAGTGGAAAATATCATATAGTGGTATTTGAGTCTTGAAGTGAATTGTACATCGTCTTCATCTACATCTACGGTAAAATATCATATAGTGGTATTTGAGTCTTCGAGTGAAAAAATATCATATAGTGGTATTTGAGTCTTGAAGTGAATTGTACATCGTCTTCATCATCGACATCAGCTGTCCATTTATTTTTTTTTCTTTTCTCTTCTCTCTCAAAATAAAAAAAAAAGTCTTATCGTACGGAAGTGCTGTCCGAATTTTACGAGTTGTAAATCTGTTACACAAAATTTGCCCAAATTTTTGTCGTATCTTCAGACTTATTAACTGTAGATGTACATGTGTATTATTGGGTTGTTTACACTATTAATAATATCATATCTATTAACATTACAAATAACAAAAATTTTTATTTTGAAATTAATTATAAATTTTTTATAAGGTCGAAATGAAAAGTTTAAAATTTGTAAAATACTGG